CATAGATAGATAGAAGCAGGGCTCGCTCTGTTTATACACTATATAAATCCATAGATAGATAGAAGCAGGGCTCGCTCTGTTTATACACTATGTAAATCCATAGATAGATAGAAGCAGGGCTCGCTCTGTTTATACACTATATAAATCCATAGATAGAAGCAGGGCTACTCCTGTTTATACAATTCATAAAGCCATAGATAGAAGCAGGACTCGCTCTGTTTATACACTATATAAAGCCATAGATAGAAGCAGGACTCGCTCTGTTTATACACTATATAAAGCCATAGATAGAAGCACGGCTCGCTCTGTTTATACACTATATAAATCCATAGATAGATAGAAGCAGGGCTCGCTCTGTTTATACACTATATAAATCCATAGATAGATAGAAGCCGGGCTCGCTCTGTTTATACACTATATAAATCCATAGGTAGATAGAAGCAGGGCTCGCTCTGTTTATACACTATATAAATCCATAGATAGATAGAAGCAGGGCTCGCTCTGTTTATACACTATATAAATCCATAGATAGATAGAAGCAGGGCTCACTCTGTTTATACACTATATAAATCCATAGATAGATAGAAGCAGGGCTCGCTCTGTTTACACACTATATAAATCCATAGATAGATAGAAGGAGGACTCGCTCTGTTTATACACTATATAAATCCATAGATAGAAGCAGGGCTCGCTCTGTTTATACACTATATAAATCCATAGATAGATAGAAGCAGGGCTCGCTCTGTTTATACACTATATAAATCCATAGATAGATAGAAGCAGGGCTCGCTCTGTTTATACACTGTATAAATGGGGGTAAATGGTGCTGTCACAATCTTTTATTATTCTTCAAACCGAACAATATCCAATAATATGACCATTGAAAGACTTTATTAGCATGATTTAAAGTTTATTAATCAGGAGGAATTCCTTTAATCTGCCATGTAAGGAGCGTGTGACAGTCTCAGCCCTGTGACGCTTTGTGTGATCTTCGCCACAATCTGATTATGTCAAAATAACGAACAGGAAATCAGATTGTATTCCGTCTCTCTTATCTGTTCGCAAAGTAACGCTTCTCTCAAACTCACTTGAAATCTAATTAGTAAAACAGGATATACGCCTGGCAATATGTATTTCAAACAGAAAATCAAAGGGATACTCGAAGCACCATAACCACCACATTTTATTTAATTATCACTGGTTTTTGTGTGACTAAAGCGTATTATTGTGGTTATAGAGCAATGTCTCCAGTTTAAACCTTTTTAAATAAAAAAATAATTTAATATAAAAACCGAAGCTCGACTGGTGTCCAATAGTTTTGTCTCACTTTTTGGTTTTATGTAGAAACCTGTATAACAATTACGGCCTGTGATCTGCTGGTTATCTGAGCTGATGGGACGGCCTCGACTGTTCTCAGATTGCTGCGCAGGCAGGGCCGTGCCTAAAGAAGCTTAGCACCATAACCACAATGAATTGTAATGACACAATACTCTGTTATGGTTTTGTAAGTCAGACACGTCCAGAATAGATTATCGAAGAAGAGATTTGTTTTGAGAATTTGTATTTAGGAAAAGTAATAAAGTTGTAAAAGTAATGCAGTCGCCCTGGGTACATTCAGCAAATAATTACACCATTTTGCACTTTTATTTATTTTCTTCTTGTTAGGTCAGTTTTTATAATCTATCTAACCATTTCTGAGCAGCAGACGATAATGGTTCGAATTGTCTGATATTACCTTAATCGTACGTAAAGTGATCTGAGGGAGTGTATTCAATAACTGAAGACGGAGATGGTTATATTATTCTTTATTTAGTTTGAGCTGTCAGCACTATTTTAGTGAACATAGTGTTATTTTTAAATTAATAAATAGATTAAAAGCGGATCAATACTCGAAGACATTCCAATAATAAAAGAAAGAACGGATAACTAGAGCTGTGACGTGATTTTTGCTGAGGTCACACGGTAACCAGCAAGAATCCGTGACAGATGTTTAGTACGATTGCATACGTATCAAAGCCTTTACACTTTATATCATATTTTGTATTAGACATTTTACCTCCTTGCTTATATCGGCCATTACAGACACACTGTGTGTGTTTGCTGGGTGTTTTCTTAAAGGTTCAGTGTGTGTTGTTACAGCTGCATTGTGTGTGTGTGTGTGCGTTGTTACAGACACTGTGTGTGTGTGCGTTGTTACAGACACTGTGTGTGTGTGTTGTTTGGATGGTGGGTGTAAGTGATTGAAGAGGTCAGGATTTGTGAATATGGGGGGAGTGTATGTGTGTGAGAAGAGGTCAGTGTGTGTGTATGGGGCCTTGTATGTGTTTGAAGAGGTCAGTAATATGGGGCTGTTGGCTGTATATGTGTGACTGTGATGGCTATATGTGTGTGAAGAGATCGATGTTTGTGAATATATATGTTGTATGTGTTTAAAGAGGTCCGTGTGTGAATACAGTGGGGTTGTGTATGTGTGTATGTGAATACAGTGGGGTTGTGTATGTGTGTGGGAATACAGTGGGGTTGTAGGGGTGTGTGAATACAGTGGGGTTGTAGGGGTGTGTGAATACAGTGGGGTTGTGTGTGTGTGTGTGAATACAGTGGGGTTGTGTGTGTGTGAATACAGTGGGGTTGTGTGTGTGTGTGTGAATACAGTGGGGTTGTGTATGTGTGTGTGTGTGAATACAGTGGGGTTGTATGTTGATGGAGCGTCCAGAAATACTAAGAACTTGTGGGGGCTCCCTTCTATAGTGCTCTGGAAACCAGACTGCACTGGATCAAAAGATGGCTGATGTCCACTCAACCACTGATTGCTCAGGCTAGGCACCTTGACAGCTTGTACCATAGAATCTAGGACTCTCTGGGAATATATAATACTTGGGGATACCTTGTGGGCACCTTATATTTTCAGGATACCTATTGTAGTTGTGAGTTCTATACCAGACACCGAGTTTGTATTAAGTTGATGACCCCGGTTGGGAATACATGGCGGATGTTTGGGGACACTGCGATAGTCACTTTAGCTACAGTGTTCCACGGAAAGGGCCAATCTTGGCGGAGGAACGCAGTTGGAGACCCATCACAATCCACTACACACCTTGCAACACTGCGTGCACTATACACACCCTGCAACACTGCACAAAAACACACTGCAACACTGCCTCCACTACACACACCCTGCAACACTGCACAAAAATACACTGCAACACTGCCTCCACTACACAAACACACTGCAACACTGCATCCACTACACACACTGCACAAACACACCCTGTAACACTGCCTCCATAACACAAACACCCTGCAACACTGCATCCACTACACACACTGCGTCAACTACACAAACACCCTGCAACACTGCCTCCACTGCACAAAAATACACTGCAACACTGCCTCCACTACACAAACACACTGCAACACTGCCTCCACTACACACACACACACTGCACAAACACACCCCGGAACACTGCCTCCACTACACACACCCTGCAACACTGCACAAAAATACACTGCAACACTGCCTCCACTACACACACCCTGCAACACTGCACAAAAATACACTGCAGCACTGCCTCCACTACACACACACTGCACAAACACACCCTGTAACACTGCGTCCACTACACACACACTGCACAAAAACACACCCTGTAACACTGCAACCACTACACACACATACACTGCGTCCACTACACAGACTGCAACACTGCACAAAAACACTCCCTGCAACACTGCGTCCACTACACAAACACACTGCAACACTGCAGAAACACACCCTGTAACACTGCCTCCACTACACAAACACACTGCAACACTGCCTCCACTACACAAACACACCCTGCAACACTGCATCCACTACACAAACACACCCTGCAACACTGCGTCCACTACACACACACACTGCATCCACTACACAAACACACCCTGCAACACTGCGTCCACTACATAAACACACTGCAGCCACTTTATGCATACACAGACTGCATTGACTTGACTTATCCGTGTGGGTGGGCATTTTTGCCGGACTTGGGGGCAAGGCCTAGAGGTCCAGGCCTTGATCTGTGTAATTTCTGATGGCAACCCTGCTGGGACATTAGGTACCTCTGATTATTAATAAATGAATAGCCGATACTATGGGTGGACACAATAAGTCTCCACAACCATCTAATATTTTATTATTGGTCCCTGGGTGGGGGGAGAGTTCTATTCGTTTATTACGTTACTGACACTGTGTTTTGGTGTATAATGCTTAAGACAAATAATGGACATAAACAAGTATTTAATCACGATCATTTTTCTTTTTTTTAATTTAAAACAAAAAATAGAATATCATTTTTCCTTCCATATTTTTCATTTTCTTTATTCCAATGTGTCGGCAGCATGTGATATATAACCTGAATTAGGCTGTAACCCCTGCCTGGATAGTATCACCTTCCTGACAACGCAGTGCAAGGGTTAAAGGTGATTGGGTTTCGCTATATTGTAACACACTCCCGGGCGGGCGGCACACAGGGGGTTAAATAGGTTTGTTTTCGATGCAAACTACAGTAATGAAATCATTTTCCATTTAATGAGGAGCTGATATTTAACTTCGTTAAAGTGATCTATATTACCCTTTACCAGTGACCGCAAGTTCTGAACAATCTGGTGTTTAATTTGATGATAAAAATGTGTCTGACCCTCTTATTATTTATATAGTGCCATCAGATTCCGTAGAGCTGTACACAGAGCGGCAGGAATGTAATAATCATCGTTAGTTATTGCAACATTTTGTATTTATTGAATATTTTCCTGATATGAAATGTTTACCCCCCATGGCATGTTGGCAAATAAAGTGAAATTTGTACAGAAATGGGGCAATAATTGAATACATATCATTCCTTAAGCGTTATCGCCCAGCTTTGGTAGATATATTTCCTATCTCATATCTCTTGGTTTTACTGCTCTGTATTAGATCCTAAACTAGGACGCATAAACCCTCAATAAACCTAAACAATTGCCGTTTAGCTGCACGTTTATTACAGGTAACCACACTGTGGGCTATTCCGGTAGTGGCCGACATGTCTCAGCCAGTCCTGTTCCTTCCATTGTGCTCAATATGAACAGATCAGTGGGAGTGGCCAATGGACACTCAGCGCAGGCACGATTTAAAGCTATCAATACTACCTGATTATTAGTGTAGGGCGCTGTATGTGATAAAAATATGGGAGAACTCCTGACGGCACAATTTAATTACTAGCAGGCAAAATGAAAAAAATCACTTTGGACGAACTGAGTACTGTGGGAAATGTAGTCTAGATATCCTGGGCGCCATCACTGGGATAGGACATTGGACCCAGAATTCGGTCATGTTACATGTTACACGTTAAAGCCAGGCCGTTATTCTTTATTGGCCGCTTTAAAGGCTGAATATTAATGAAAAATTCAAAATGTCACTAAACGTGCAAAGTCATTAAAAGATATAAGATAGGGAGGGCTTTGACTTTTGTACACATCGAAAAAAGGCAGAATACGGGAATAGAGAGAGCTTGGCCGTTTTGTATGAGCAGTTACTAGTGACTGGAATGCATTGTGTGCGCGTATGAAGGTCTAAGGATGCGCTTACGGTGTCTTCAAAAGCCCCCGATTTTGAACACCGGAAATTGTGGAATTTGAAGGGAGTCTGTATCAGGCGGGGACCCCCCTTCTGTCCCTGGTCACGTCCCCTTGTTGATCTAACAAGTGACAGTTTAAACATGTTTCAATTTTATCATCTAACAAACGTTCTGTTTTGTAGTAAAACAATTATAGCTGCATGCATTAGTTAAAGGGAATAAAATAAGTCCGGTCTGTGATCACATCAATCATTTTCATGCAGCTGCCAGCAGCCATTTCATTAACCAACCACAAACCGTATCTAAATATCTGTATCATTTATTTTCAGCCTTCCATATACAGTACCCCAAAAAATACATTTCTTTTTATTTTAGATTTGAATTGTGAATTTACAATAATGTAAAAAATATGTTACATAAAAACAATATATAATTTTTTAACAAAATACTTTTTGGTAGCTAAAATACTGAGAACCGAAATGCATTAACACTGTTAGATGACCAAATGTAAAATGAAATGATAATCTGAGTGAACCAATATTCTGATAGATTGATAAACTCAAAATGGCCTCCACAGACCCAAAATGGCAGTTAGAGAGTGTGTACCCCCCAATGATCTGAAAATGTTCCTTAATTGGGCAGGAATCAGATTGTATCTCTGTGCGTTCAGTAAATTCGGGCAGGAATCCAGCGGCGTTTAGCCCTTACTCACACTCCTACGGAGGCATCACGCCTCATGTAAGCTTTTTAATGCTTTAATTAATTAAAACGAGCACATGTACTGGATCGTGATTATACGCCCTTTAATGTGAAATATGTTTCAAAGCAGGAAGAAATTAAAGGGACACTATAATTTAATACATAGTTTACCACTATGTGGGCTTTTTTTAATAGTCAATAAATATATTCATGTACACGTTTTCATACCTTCAGTGTAACAAGAAAATCAAATCCCCAATTAAAATCTAATATATGTTCCTGCAAGGCATTGTAAAAATGAACCCACGGATATGTAATATATATATATGTTTGTGTCTGTTGAAGAGTTCTAATATTGTTAAAGAGCCATGCCCAGCCAACAATGTCCAAACTTGCACCAAATGATATTGCTAATCGGGGCACTTACTGATTGGACATCTCAGCCCGACCTTTTTAACAATTAACTGCTTCGAGTTTGCTGCGCCATTTGTCTGACTCCGGTCACTGCGTTATATTAGACCTCAATCGGAGAATCAAACAATCTAAAAATGGGATCTGCTCTGTCTGCGGCCGTTCCTCTTAAATGAGAGATCGCTGCAGATGCTGTAAAGCCTGTGGCTGTGCAGCAAGTACAGTAATTCTGCGCTTTTTAAATATGTGTGTGTGTGTGTATATATATATATATATATATATATATATATATATATATATATATATATATATATATATATATATATATATATATATATATATATATATATTACACTTCCACCCTGTTCCAGGAACATTTCAAGCACTGTGACCACTTCAGCCTGGTGTTGTCCCACTATACGTGTTTAAAACTGTTCAATTACGGTATCACAACTTACCTGGGTTCTCCATAAACCACGGCTGATCCATGGTCGCTCTCATTGGGTGACAGCGTTCTACTAATGTTCTCAGCCAATGGGCTAGTATTCGTATGAGTAAACATGGGCTGATTAACCTGGCAGCCAGGGGACCCAGGTAACTTGTCAAAATATATTAAAATGGTGTGACTACTTACTGTGAGATAGTGCCAGGGCCCTCCTGACACCATAACCACTACAGTGGGTCGCAGTGGTTATGGTGCTTGGAGTGTTTTTTATTAAAAGCATATATGACACATAAGAGATGCTTGAGGTGGTTTACAGCTCTGTCACAGACAAGGTCACATTTCCAAGTGGCAATCGATTAGTCCAGCCTACATGTAGCTGAGAATCAAAGAGATGTAGTTTAGTTGGAGAGCATCATGTTACTGCACCCCGACCCCAGACATGCAGAGTTTATTATTAGTGAAAATCTCAAGCTGCCCTTCTGTTTTGGGACCTGCAGCTTTTATTCCCAGGATGCAAATCCAGAAACAGCCGTGGAAAGACTATATCTACTCACAATAACTCTCTCAAAACGCGGCTAAGAGTCTTGGGAGTCTATAACCACTTTTTTTTCCATTCTGTATGTGCGTTCCTGTAAGTAAATAGTCGAATCCTGTGGCTTCCTGTAATATTCATGTGGCACGATGGAAAGCGATGGCGGGTATATGTGCTTAGCGATAAATGCTGATTTCACCTGGCTAGACAGACTCTCGTGTAAACTTATATCGTTAACATTGTACTAAAAACAAACAGCACAAGATTATAAGACCCAATATGGGTGAGGAACACATTCGTAAAAACATAAAACTTTAAAAAGTTACAAACTGTACGTCACTTTCCGAGTACGAAAAGAAACCACTTATTCATAATCGTAAAAAGAAAAATATATTTTTGGCGCAAAGAGGACTTAAAGACAAAGTGTTGTGGTGGCGCACTATTTGGCATGCACACGTGGACATTCCTTTAGTAAGGGTGTGAGCCCTCCTTATTTTCATGAATCCACCTGTGGTTAAGCAGTGAGCAGCTCAACCATTTGCAAGTAGGAGGTAATGTCTGAGGATCTCTTTAACAGTCTCCTGATCTCCGAGGGGAACGCTTCCCTCTGAAGCCTGAGCTGGCTCCCTTTATCTCTAAAGTGGGGACGGATTTATGATACATTTATTTCAGTCATTTGTTTTTTTGTCTTTCCCTGGTTTTAGCACAGGATATTCTGACAGACAATATGATGTTATAATAATGGGAGTTGCAGTAAGCAGCAGTTGGTTTGTCGATCATTATAAAGGCGTATTTGTCTGCTAATCACTAAAAGGCCGTCTGAGCATGATAGGAGTTAGGCAAATTGTTCTAACTTCCTAGATACATGCACAACTGAAGTGATTACCTTGGACTTTGTTGGTTTATCCAGAATGTATGACATGGGATAGTCCCCTTTTAATCACCTGCTGATCCTCATCTGCTGAATGACTACAACTCCCATCAGCCTCACCTGGAGATACTGGATTTTTATGCCTGGCACATTTAATTGGTTGACGTGGTTAGATTGTGCGGTGCACTGTCACTTGGAGCGAGAGATCATTCTCTGGTGTACATATGAGGATAATGGGGGTAAGAGTCATTAAATTTGCACTTATTTACTATCATTTCATTTCCTCTTGCCAAAATATATTGACTGCATCACAACGATTAAATATTGATCCAAACTGATAGAAGGCAAAATAAACAATTTTAAATTGATTGCTATTTCTTAATAAAATATTCCTTCAATCCAATCTCTTCTCTCAACCTACAGTCTAATACCGAATGGATATACTTCATATTCTTCGATCACGCCAATATACTTTATACCAGCCACACCCAGCGTTTCTACCTACAGCCGTCCTATCTACAGACCATATCAATGCTTTGCCAAAAATAAAAATGTGGCAGAAAACTTAATAAAAAAAAAAAAAAAGGGACTTTGTTTTTATTTTTTTCTTAACCAATGAGCTAAAATTGTATTAACACCGTGCTATCCAGAACTGCACCAATTGGAGCCAGACCTCCATGTGAGGCTTTGACGTGGACATTGGTGCAATCTAGCTGGTAGCATGAATTAAAGCCATCTTCTGTTATCATAACTCCCTGTAGACGCTCAGCACGTAAATTCATGTATTGGGTGGTCCACCTGCGTGTTGACCTGTTTGGCATAGGGAGGTTTAAAGAGGACCTCCATGGCTGCCCTACAGACTCCAGACTCAGCACGGTGGAGGCCGCCCTTTACTTAAATTTAGAAATAGCAATTTATGGGGTCTATTAATATTTTGGCCTAATCTCCATTTTCATGGACCTTCAAGGCTTCCATATACTTCGCCACTGAGTTTATGAGTAGAGTGCCGTCCAATGTCGTCCTCTGGCAGAAGTTTTATCCTGTGGCCCTTCCGTAGCATCCATCTTTATTTCAAAATGGAGGTTGCACATGTTCCGCCAACTTGCCTAGAATAGCAACTCTTCATCCCTCCCCCTCAAAATCCTCTCAGAGAAACTGTGCAATTCACAGAGTACCAGCCGTTGGCAGCCATTTTGCTTTCATGGCAGCCATTTTCTTTAAAGACCATTTTTCCATTTTTTTTGTCTCCATTACAATTTTGTTCAGTTTTGACGAGAAACCAACCAAACCTTTGGAATATTACATGGAATTGAAGCAGCTAAAAATATCCCAAGCCACAACTGATTGTCTCCCACACAGTATTCTGTCATTTCTTGCTTTGTATATTTATATATATATATTTATGTATGTATACACACACTCTTTATATATCTGCTTCTTTTAAGTTATTTTCTTTAGATCCAAACAGTGATAAAGTGATGTTCATCGTCAAACAAAAGAGGAAAACCCAGCAATTGGAGCGCGTGAAGTGGGTGCGAGGCTGCTCGGTGGGCGGTATATAGGGTTCTGCTGGGTTGGAAGGCTGGGGGGCTGCTGCGGTGTGGGAGTCCGGCTCGGTTTGGGCCTGTACAGGCTGCCATGCTGGCTGTTGTTGGGGATAATACAATGTTCGCCGTCCTCTGGTTCCGTCTCGCTGTAATTGTAGGCGTGAGCCCGAGAGATTCCTTTCTGCTGGCGTCGCCATGAATTGTAGTACGTGGGGTCACTGATGTAATGGTTGACAAATGAATGGGTTTTCTGTTGGTTTTGATCCACTTCGTATTCGCTGTCACTTCCCTAGAGACATAAAAAAACCAAACATTACTTACAGCGCTGACAAGAACTGATACGTAACAGTGAATCGTATATTGAAGGAAAATGATCCCAGTGAAGGATTTCAGAGACCCCCAACTACAAGATGAAACCCCCAGGCAGCACTATTTTCCTAATGACTGATTTAAAAAAAATATATTTTTTGTTTCACAATAGCTGGGGTTTGAATACATTTCTCTACCTGTCCAGCACACATTGTTAGTTCTTGGTGTGTTCCGGTCCTGCCTAAAGCTGATGGGAGTTACACAGTGCCTCTCCCTAGCCCCTCATTCAGGAGATGATGCTTGAAAAGGGACACTTATAGTAAATTTATAGTAAATTTTATTCTGTTTGCCCTGAGGTGGAAAAACTAAAATGCTTTTAAATGTGGAACTTGCAGCCACTGAATCGCCAAACTGTGCTTTTTGTTATTAATAAACAAATTAACTACTATGTATTTATTAGACTCTGGCTGCCGGCTTTGTATCTGGAATCTGGAGAGAAAGCTGCGCTATGACACAAGGAATCTGCAGAGGAATCTGTGCTATGACAAGGAATCTGTGCTATGACACAAGGAATCTGCAGAAGAAGCTGCGCCATGACACAAGGAATCTGAATAGGAAGCTGCGCTATGACACAAGGAATCTGCAGAGGAAGCTGCACTATGACACAAGGAATCTGCAGAGGAAGCTGCACTATGACACAAGGAATCTGAAGAGGAAGCTGCGCTATGATACAAGGAATCTGGAGAGGAATATGTGCTATGACAGAAGGAATCTGCACTATGGCACAAGGAATCTGGAGAGGAAGCTGCACTATGACACAAGGAATCTGCAGAGGAAGCTGCACTATGACACAAGGAATCTGCAGAGGAAGCTGCACTATGACACAAGGAATCTGAAGAGGAAGCTGCGCTATGATACAAGGAATCTGGAGAGGAATATGTGCTATGACAGAAGGAATCTGCACTATGGCACAAGGAATCTGGAGAGGAAGCTGCACTATGACACAAGGAATCTGCAGAGGAAGCTGCACTATGACACAAGGAATCTGCAGAGGAAGCTGCACTATGACACAAGGAATCTGAAGAGGAAGCTGCGCTATGATACAAGGAATCTGGAGAGGAATATGTGCTATGACAGAAGGAATCTGCACTATGGCACAAGGAATCTGGAGAGGAAGCTGCACTATGACACAAGGAATCTGCAGAGGAAGCTGCACTATGACACAAGGAATCTGAAGAGGAAGCTGCACTATGATACAAGGAATCTGGAGAGGAAGCTGCACTATGACAAGGAATCTGGAGAGGAAGCTGCGCTATGGCACAAGGAATCTGCACTATGACACAAGGAATCTGCAGAGGAAAATGCACCATGACACAAGGAATCTGCATAGGAAGCTGCGATATGGCACAATTAATCTGCATAGGAAGCTGCGCTATGACACAAGTAATCTGCAGAGGGAGCTGCGCTATGACACAAGGAATCTGGAGAGGAAGCTGCGCTATGACACAAGGAATCTGGAGAGGAAGCTGCACTATGACACAAGGAATCTGTGCTATGACACAAGGAATCTGAAGAGGAAGCTGCGCTATGACACAAGGAATCTGGAGAGGAATATGTGCTATGACAGAAGGAATCTGCACTATGGCACAAGGAATCTGGAGAGGAAGCTGCGCTATGACACAAGGAATCTGGAGAGGAAGCTGCGCTATGACACAAGGAATCTGGAGAGGAAGCTGCGCTATGACACAAGGAATCTGGAGAGGAAGCTGCACTATGACACAAGGAATCTGCAGAGGAAGCTGCACTATGACACAAGGAATCTGTGCTATGACACAAGGAATCTGAAGAGGAATATGCGCTATGACAGAAGGAATCTGGAGAGGAATATGTGCTATGACAGAAGGAATCTGCGCTATGGCACAAGGAATCTGGAGAGGAATCTGCGCTACGACAGAAGGAATCTGCAGAGGAAGCTGCGTTTAGTAATGTAGACCATGATTAAGGATTGCACAGGATTGGTGGGAACGTCTCTTTCAAACCTCCATTCCGTCACACGTTTAATGATGTGTTGCAATGCGCAGTGAGCCCATGGAGATGTATTCTTATTACAGTACGAGGCAGCACACTGTATGCCGGTCTCTGCGCGGAGAGCTGGGGATTAACTGTATGGGAAGCATTCCATTAGCTGCTCCCTACTTGCCAAGGTGTGGTCTGTTTATACAGTCACTTTGTAATAAACACGGCTGTTCCCAGGGAAACAGCATTTTCAAACTAGCATCAAATAAAGGTCCGGGCTGTGACAGATTCTGGGCAGATGTCCGTTGGCCACAATGCACTGTTCTAGTGACTCCTGCCGTGTTAGTGCGACGGCCACAGGAGTCTAGCGAGAGCGCACCCAGACTGAGTGTCATAGGTTAGTTTTAGGATTGGTGTCTGCGGGCACTGCCAGCCTGCCTGATCCACATCTCTAGATAAATCTGAGGCTGCAGAAAGGAATGATGGCTCTGTGTCCAACAAACTGCTCTGTTTGGGTATAAACGGCGGCACTCTATTTATAGGGCCCATTGTGTCTGACCGGCAAATGCCACCTGGTTCACAGGCTTGGCAACCTTAGGAACCCAGCTGCTGCAGACTGGCATCAGGGAGGTGGATTGTACGTGGCAGTGGTATCATCACAGTCTAGTGCTGGCAGAAAAGAGAGTGGGGCAAGCCACGTGTGGGAGGTGGATGGGTACAGGTAGAGAGAGAGAGACAGTGTGAGACATCAAAGTGGCAGAGGAAATGGGGGTATAGAGAGAGACAGACTGACAAAGGTTATGGGGGGAGGTGAGAGAGACAGACTGACAGAGGGTATGGAGGAGGTGAGAGAGACAGACTGATCGAGGTTATGGGGAAGGGGAGGAGACTGACAGAGGGTAAGGGGAGGAGAGAGCGACCGAGACTGTTTTCCTATGATGAAATTATGTGCTATGCATAGAAGGCTATGTTAATAATGTATAAAATGTACTATAAATATCTCTCATCCTAGCGAGGAATGTCATGTGACCCTGCGACTCTGATCCAAATAACAGCAATGTGCCAATGGATGCCAGGCATTGTCAGCCTTCGCACCCTTTCTGCCTGTCATTTACATTGTGCGTCGCTGGTCACATTCTTATAGCGGAACCGAAAAAAATAAAACAAATTTAAAACTATACGTAAACTTTTTTTTTGGCCCAAAATCTGGAATTTGCTGCAGTTCACCGTTCAATCAATAAACCCCAATTGTTAGATATTGATATTGTTATTTGTCTGCCATTGTTTGCTCCCATTTCTCACGGATACAGACACTTAGTTGGCGCTTTACACAATGGCAGCGATTGTCACCGTGAAAGGTAATCTATCGAGGTCTGTGGGAGTGCCCCATATAACGCACTTTGTTTAGGGTGTGACCGGACCCAGATATAATCAATAGAAGATTTAACAAGGAAATATTACTATATGGCACACAAATCAGAGACAGACGGCACTCAAGTATTCTTTTCAGCAATTAACAAAAGTATTTCTGAGAAGGTAACAGATGTCAATAGAGAGAATGCAGAGACACAATATGTCGGGAGGAAACGGATTTCTCTTTGTGAAAGCTAAGCCGGTTAACCCTGTGATTGCAAGCAGGGCTTGTGTCACCTTACTAGCAGTCTGTTACAGGCTGTACCAGCAATGCAAGGGTTAATGACCAAGCAAAGATACCTGACCTGTTATTTACCTGCGCAGAGCAGTGTTTGACACTTTGTGATGTTAGGATTTAGGAACTGGAATGACTTATTGCAGGGAATTTAGGTTAATGGGAGAACCAGGACGGCTGACAGGTCTCAGCCACTACTTGGCATTTGTAGGAAAATGGGACTGTCTAGGCAGGAGTTGACATTAAAGTGAAACTATAGTGCCAGGAACACAAAGTTGTTTTCCTGGCAGTATAGCTCCCTGTAGTCACCACTTCCCCCAACCGTGGAGCAGAAAGGGTTAAAAACCCCTTCTGTCACTTACCTCAATCCAGCGCCGATATTTCTTGGTGCTAGCTCGGTTCCAACTCCGCAGTCTTCAGAGACCTAATGCACATGCGCGGCAATGACCAAGCTAACATTAGGATTTCCCCACAGGAAAGCATCATACAATGCTATTCTGTTGGCTTTGCAGTGACCCTGGATGTCCTCATGCATAGCATGAGGACTTCCAACGCTAGTAAGGCGACCAAAAGTCGGCCCGGAAGTCCCTCTAGTGGCTATCTGGAGGAGTTAACCCATTAAGGTAATTATTGCAGTTTCCTAAAAACTGCACTAATTAGCTCTGCAGGTTAAGGGACCAGGGGTACTTCACATAGACCGCTGCAAATAGCTGAAGTGGTCTGGGTGCCTATAGCATCCCTTTAAAGGGACACTCCGAAACCATAAATCAGGTTAGGTTGCTGAAGTGCTTTATGTGTGTGGAGTGTGGTGTCTCTTTTTCACTTTATAAAATGTTCAGATTTCAATTGAAATTGGCACTTTTTTATACATTAATCTGGTTACACCCCCTGGTGAACTTTGAACAATGAGAAGTTAAAATTTGCTGAGAGTTGTCCTTAGAGATAAATGCTATACCAGAAACACTGCATAGAACTACATCCCCCATAATACTTTGCCAGCTCACCTTTTGGCCACCCATGTATATCTCTATACCTCGGCTATCCTACATCTATTAATAGAGTGTGTTATCGATCTGACTGACACGGCACAATATCAATGTCCTGCAGAATCCACTGGAGGCGAAATATGTATTCTACACTTAGAGTAATTGGTGAATTAATGTTAGATTATCAGCAAACATCGCCCTGATCAAGGATTGCAAACAATGCCACATGTTATCGGGAAACAGTAACTCTTTGAATACCAAGAGTGTTTAATGTTGCTATGGAATGCGTTGGGCACGCCCCTGCCAAGGGGTTATATATATATTTTTTTAATGGATATCCGTAAACATGACCACACATTTAAAGATCCCCTTTCTCATGGCTGATGTTATGGAGCAGGCTTCGCTGGTGACAATCACATCTGAAATGGCCCCGGGGCTATAAGAGTTTAAGTGAAATGATAATGGTTGTGTTCACTGATGGGCGGTCATGATATCTGACAGAGGAACCAAGACAAGTGCAAACAGGGCACTGAATCCTGGATGGTGACATCATAATTCTCAGGTGGATTGAAAAAAACAAAAATGCAAACATAACTATTTATGGGGCGTGTGAATTTTGTTTGTCACAGTGTCATAATTAGCAATTGTAACATTTGTAAAAATACCTTTTAAAAACAATTATCTGGTCACATTAAGGAAAACATGTTACATCATTTGTTTTGACACATTAATATTTTCTCATTTCTAAGCTCCCTGCCCTTGCCAGGAGGTGGCACTCTGCCTTCCCACTTCACATCACACTGTTCATTTCAGAAAATCAACCATCTTTACATTCCTTGACTTCCTCTCTAAACTTGCCGACCAGTTAATTTATCAGTTTAATCCTGTATTAGATTGTAAGCTCGTGAGCCGAGCCCTCTTTTTCAGTTTGCTGTAAGTAGTACATCTGAAGTAAACCCCCACAGTATCTTGCAAAGCATAATGCGAACCGTGGATCCACAACAGGCGTTTACGTGTTGGCTACGCCATCAGACACTCCAGGAATGCACTACAAATCCCAGAAATCTAAGTGAGTACACGACATGTACTAATAGACTTTGAGAGCTGAATTACTCTACGACTAGTGATAATCCAGCCTTACTGTACAATAGCCTCCTAGCGCTATAACGGCTACAATAAGCGCTGATGGTTATTTTGCTTGGCGTAGCCCTGTAAATCCTGTGTGAAGAGATGTGTAAATGGCGGCTGTTATTAAGTACATAATAACAGCTTTTGTTTGCGATGTTAACATGATTCAGAACTAGCAGAACAGAGATTCAAGAAACTCCAGTTTGTTTCTGGCAAGGTCCCTGTTTCTTAACATCAACAATCCCAAAATCTTTGAAAACCTCTAGTAACTTTAAGTCTATTAAGTGTTTGGTAGTTGTCAGCCAGTTTAACTGGGTTACTCCTTGTTTACATTTGGTGCTCGCTACGTGCACACCCTCCGCCGATCTCTCACGAGTAAAAACTCAAAGAATGAACACTGTCAGGTTTAACTGTTTGTGCTATGTGGCTTTATTCCAGAGACACAAAATGACCCCTGTAATGGTTACATCAATACACTGTGCCAGGAGGAAAATACGAATAAAAGGGTCTTATTCCCTTTAAAGAATTACGACAAGCACCATGACCACCTCAGTGTTTTGAAGTGGTCGTGGTACTTGGAGTCTGTATAAAACTCTTCACTTAAATATTTTTGTTGATGCCAGATGTGTAACTTCACTAGTGGTGGAGTCATTAGCCGGCCCAAAGCGAAGATTCAGGCTGGTTAATGTCAGTTCTGTGCATATGCCCAGCACATCATTATTTATTGGTGGACAGCAGTAAGCTGACCCTCTCAGCCAATGAATGACAAGCATGATCGCCAGCTGGTTTCTTTCGCAGCCAGATGTTCATCACTTGCATTAGGAGTGACTACGTGCCCGGCAGAACCCAGGTAAGAGGGCTAAATGTTGCATAACAATTTTATCCTATTACCTGAGAACGGTGCCAGTGAACTCCTACCATCATTACCACTACAGTGGTGGAGGGGTACAAGATGGAGGAGACCATTTCTATCTCAGATTGCTCCCAATATGCCGCTATTCCTCACCTGTGAATCCGATACTTCGGAGGGCTTTTCGGTCAGACTCCCGCTCTCGGTGGGAATGAGATCATTGTATTTGGCTACATCCTCGTCTGAATAATGCAGGCTCCCCGGACTGGGGCGAGGGGGAGATCTGGAAGAAGAACACCCGCGAACGTTAGACAGGTCGACCTTCATTAAACTCTGCTTGCTTCGTGGTACAACTTCCCGGCAAAGCTGGTTAATGCTGAAAGTGAGTAAGAAAAGACTTGGGAGGAATATGTGACTGTGACACAATGTGAACAAACAGGACACGGTTAAATTTGATATATTCTACATGTAACCCCAAACTGCCATGGATCTACCCCGTATGTTACACACCTGCAATACGGGGGGCTGACTAGGTAGGATTTTATCTGTAATGTGAATAATACTATAGTATAATAATATAGTCCCATTTCTTTCTGATTTGTTGAGAGATTGCAGAGACTTGCGGAGGCTTGTCTCTTTCCTTATCACACATGTAATAATGCAATAACCTTTAGGGTCTCTATTCTATGAAACATGTTTGGTTTTATCATCTGTCTTTTACTTCTAACTTACATAGAATTTTTTATTTAAATTTCAATACGAGGTTTGCCTTGACAGGTGAGCTTACATGTTAATTGTTGTAATTATACCAAAAATGTTAAGATTTGAGGTAATGTGCAGGTAAATTGTCGATTTATTTTGGCTGATACTGCAGCCCTAGCAGCCACTGGAGCAGTAGGAGTCTGAATGTAGGGCTAATTTTTTGTTTTACCTAAAGCTCACTGTAAATCTCTATTTAGTGAATGAACCCCTCGGAAGCAGGGAGTGTGGAGAGGACAACCTAGTAAAACTATATGACTGACCCATCAGAGGATTTAACCGCTGCTGACACCCAGCTTGGCAAGCAATAGTTTGGTGTGAGCTGCAGGGGGCAGTTTTATGGCTGTAGCAGTGTTCCAGCAGCTGCCTATCCATCGCTGGTGCAATAATGTGGTAACGGCTGGTGCATTGCGCTGGCAGCGCCTGCCATACGTTGAATACATACAGTTTTATTATAGGGATGTTTTTAGCAAAGCCCTCCCTTTGCTAGCCTGTATCGCTCTGCAAACCTCCTCCCTGCCACCCCTCACCCCCCCTCGCCAGTCTCTCCAAGTCCCTTCTAAGAGCTCCTTGTGTGCCGAGTCTGTAACAGAGCTCCCTTTGTCATGCAGCCAGCAGGAGCACTAAATTGTAGTTTACTGGAACGAGACGGGAATATCAAGGAGAAGAAGGGTGGTTTAATGAAACGGCACAGTCTGTGCCAGCTACTTAGCTGGAAAGTGCTCACCCTAGAAACAGCTTGTCTACCCGGGTCAAAATCTTTCGCAATGACAATAAGGGGTTATGTGAAAAGGCCGGGATTAAAGCTTGCTAGAACTTTCTATCACTGCTTGTAACGGCAGCAGAGGAATGCAACACTTTAACATGTCGCAATCCTGTTTCTACACGTAGAGCTTGATTTAATCAGCGCCTGAGCAAACGCTACGATGGCAGCTGACTCTCTGCCAGGAGTAATATTGTTCTTTATAGCAGTCCAGCATTTATCCATGTTTCAGGCGGTGTCAGAGCTAAACATTTCTTAGTTATATTGAATAAATATTAGTTTTCATAAAAATTGAGTTATGTCTGAAATGAGCAGGTCGGCCTGGCTTTCCCGCACATTATTACAGCGCTGCAGAAACGCTCGGCCCTGGCTATGTGCGAAGACTCCGTGGGCTATGTGGGAACCGCTCTGTGTTTCTATAAAGATAATTTCAGATTTATTATGTTGAGAATGGAAATTCCTGCATTTACTGCTGATCTTCCAGGAGCGCTAACTAAATCCGCAGGCGCTCAGCCAATCCTGCTGCTCCAATTCTCAATGGGAAAAATATTATGGGACATTATTCCAGCACTTCATCCACACTTTCTCAAAAACTGCATTTTGTTACAGAATAATAAGTTTTACTCCATTAATAATTATATATTGCTTTTTAATTGTCCTGGATCTCACTAATAACCTATATTTTAAGAAAATACAAGGTAGGGGATTATATGAATCAGTTACCCCTTGCCGTACAATGTCTCCCATGTGGTGAACCAGTTACCCCTTGCCGGACAATGCCTCCTGTGTGGGGAACCAATAACCCCATGAAAGAAACTGCCCCCCTTGTGGGAACCTGTTATCCCATGCCAGACACTGCCCCCTGTGTAGGAACCTGTTACCCTGTGCCAGACACGGCCCCCCTGTGTAGGAACCTGTTACCCTGTGCCAGACACGGCCCCCCTGTGTGGGAACCAGTTACCCCGTGCCAGACACGGCCCCCCTGTGTGGGAACCAGTTACCCCGTGCCAGACACTGCCCCCCCTGTGTGGGAACTGGTTACCCCGTGCCAGACACTGCCCCCCTGTGTGGGAACTGGTTACCCTGTGTCAGACACTGCCCTCCTGTATGGGAACCTGTTACCCCGTGCCAGACACGGCCCTCCTGTATGGGAACCTGTTACCCCGTGCCAGACACTGCCCCCCCTGTGTGGGAACCGGTTACCCTGTGTCAGACACTGCCCTCCTGTATGGGAACCTGTTACCCTGTGCCAGACACTGCCCCCCTGTGTGGGAACCAGTTACCCCGTGCCAGACACTGCCCTCCTGTGTGGGAACCAGTTACCCCGTGCCAGACACTGCCCCCCCTGTGTGGGAACCGGTTACCCCGTGCCAGACACTGCCCCTCCTGTGTGGGAACCGGTTACCCTGTGCCAGACACTGCCCTCCTGTGTGGGAACCAGTTACCCCGTGCCAGACACCACCCCCCTGTGTGGGAACCAGTTCCCTCGTGCCAGACACTGCCCCCCAGTGTGGGAACCAGTTACCCTGTGCTGACACGCCTGGGTGTGGGAAACCAGTTACCCGGTCCCAGACACTGCCCCTGTAAACTGTTACCCCGCCAGACACTGCCACCCCGTGTGGGAACCGATTACCCTGTGCCAGACACTGCCTCCCTGTGTGGGAACCAGTTACCCCGTGCCAGAAACCGCCCCCCTGTGTGGGAACCAGTTACCCAGTGCCAGACACTGCCCCCCTGTGTGGGAACCGTTACCCCGTACAGACACCGCCCCTCCCGTGTGGGAACCAGCTACCTGTGCTGTGAATCCCTGTGTGGGAACCAGTTACCCGGGTGCCAGACACTGCCTCTGTGTGGGAACCGTTACCCCGTGCTGTGACACTGCCCTCCCCCGTGTGGGAAACCAGTTACCCTGTGCCAGAATCCGCCTCTGTGTGGGCAGTTACCCGTGCCAGACGCCCCCCTGTTGCGTGGGAACTGGTTACCCCTGTGCCAGACACGCTCTGTGGGAACCTGTTACCCCTGTGCCAGACACTGCCCTCCCCTGTGTGGGAACCAGTTACCCGTCCCAGACACTGCCCCCTGTGTGGGAACCGTTACTCCCCGGGTACAGCACTGCCACTGCAGGGGAACCGACACTTTGTGCCAGACACGCCTCCTGTGTGTAGAAACCAGTTACCCCTGCAAGAACTGGGCCTCAGGGAAACCAGTTACCTAGTGCTGTAGACACTGCCCCCTGTGTGGGAACCGGTTACCCCGCAAGCCAGACACTGCCCTCCTGTGTGGGAACCAGTTACCCTGTGCCAGAATCCGCCCCCCTGTGTGGGAACCAGTTACCCGGTGCCAGACACTGCCCCCCCTGTGTGGGAACCGGTTACCCCGTGCCAGACACTGCCCTCCTGTGTGGGAACCGGTTACCCTGTGTCAGACACTGCCCTCCTGTGTGGGAACCAGTTACCCCGTGCCAGACACCACCCCCCTGTGTGGGAACCAGTTCCCTCGTGCCAGACACTGCCCCCCAGTGTGGGAACCAGTTACCCCGTGCGGGAACCAGTTACCCCGTGCAAGACACGGCCCCCCCGTGTGGGAACCGGTTACCCCGTGCCAGACACGCCCCCCCCCGTGTGGGAACCGCTTACCCCGTGCCAGACACTGCCACCCTGTGTGGGAACCGATTACCCTGTGCCAGACACTGCCCTCCTGTGTGGGAACCTGTTACCCTGTGCCAGACACTGCCACCCCGTGTGGGAACCGATTACCCTGTGCCAGACACTGCCCTCCTGTATGGGAACCTGTTACCCCATGCCAGACACCGCCCCCCTGTGTGGGAACCAGTTACCCCGTGCCAGACACCACCCCCCTGTGTGGGAACCAGTTACTTCGTGCCAGACACTGCCCCCCAGTGTGGGAACCAGTTACCCCGTGCCAGACACGGCCCACCTGTGTGGGAACCAGTTACCCCGTGCAAGACACGGCCCCCCCCGTGTGGGAACTGGTTACCCCGTGCCAGACACCGCCCCCATGTGTGGAACCAGTTACTCTGTGCCAGACACCGCCCCCCTGTGTGGGAACCAGTTACCCCATGCCAGACACCGCCCCCCTTTGTGGGAACCAGTTACCCTGTGCCCCCCATACCTTGTATAGATGCCATTCTTCCTGCAAAAGGAATTCTTTACTGAAAGCCTACGGTTGTTCAGTTCTAGAGCAGGAAATCTGCTTTCATCCAGACTGACCATCTCTCCGTGTCCTAACGTGCTGGTCTTGGGATTACAGCCTGTGAGGGTATATGGAGAGACCATCAGCACTGTGTGTATCAGCTACAACATCCAATGTATTATATCGCTACGGAAATGGTCCTTAATCTCTCACCGGAGTCAGATTTTTTGGCGTACTTCTTGCTCTGTCCGCGGATAATTAAGGCAAATACCAGGAGCAGAATGAAGATAAGCCCAATAAGCGCAATAACCACGAGGAACCACCACTCTTCATAGAACGGATTCGCTTTCTGTGCTGCAGGGGGAAATGGGTTAAGGCGGCAGTGAGGAGGGCGAGGAGTTAAAAACCAGCTCCCTTCATACCCCGAGGTTCACCTCCTGAATGAAACCCAAGTACTTACCTACACACCAGGTACGGGTTACTCTGCACATGGTGAGGTCAGCATTCATCATTAATGAGGTTGATCACACAGATTATCGACACAGCCCAATGCTCATTTAACCAATGGGCCGGAAATGGCACGATATTAGGTGCGTCGTACCATTCACATCGTTTAGGGAAAGTTTAATCTGAGCAATTAAAATGCCAACATTACTGACAAATTAATCGATAGGGAAACCGATAATACTGGGGTGGCATTGGACTTCTGATATACAGATCTCACGTTCAGGTTCTGGTTTAGAAGAGACTGAGGACAACGGGCTGTTATTTACTATCTGGGAATGCATTGGGCTAATGGCTAAAAGAGACCAGGCCCTGGGGAGATAGCGCAGAAAAGCGGACAAGGGCACATGTAGGAGTGTGGGGATAGATGCATGGGATTGGATGGGAAAGAGTGTGTGGGTGGGATTATGTTCTGGGAAAGTTAGTGTGGGGGTGGTCTTACCTCAGTGCCACTTGGGATACGGGGCAGCAAACAGCTTCCCTCCCACCTGCCCTATTAGTATATTTGTCACAGCTAGCCAGGGGTATGTCCTTGCCAATTGAGTTTGAGGGGTTACGTTTAAGTATATGGAATGAGATGAACAAGTTTTTAAGGTCTCAACCTCCCCTGCTTCAAAGGGTTAACATTAGGTTGCCTGAGGTGTCGTGCCCATCGAGCGTGGATAAGGTCGGCTGATGGCGGGCATTGGAAAGATATGATTTTTATGACGAGGGGGGAGGTGAGAGGAAGTGGTGATTAGGAACCACTGTATGTTTATTGGCAAGGACGGTTGGGTCACTGTATAACACTATGGGTGGAGTTATATATGTATATATGTTAATTTATGCTTATTTATGTCTAACGTTTTTTGGTTACAGAAAGAAGAGATTTCATAAATAAAGTTATGGATGTGTTATGCAGTAATTTAGTTTGTGATAATAAATGCTGTGGCCTGTTCATCCATACTAAGTGGTCTGTCGTTATTGGGGGGTTTAATGGGGTTAGTTTATGTTCTAGGCTGCATCGCGAATCCCCACTACGTACATACAAGCGAACCCATTCATTAACAGTACTGCCACAGACAGCCACTTAGCCACTTAGCCACGTATAACTAGAAAAAGTGGTGGGTTAGGGCTCCCGAGTAACAGTACTATTTAAAAAAAAATTAAAACAAAATTAAAAGTTCTGTGTACACAATGTTCACACATTCATTACAATGATCTATAGCCAAGAATGGGATTCCTCCTGACTATATGTAAGGAGTGGGGGGGAGTGGATGGGTTGGTAGAAAGGAGTTAAAGTCCCGGATGCTTGAATACAAGTTGAGCTTTGGTGGCTGCATTAAATCTGCATTTTAGAGAAACACGGTGCTGCCATTAGGTAATCTATCACCGACCACGATAAACCCCAAACTCCAGCCTGTTTTCACTAATCCTAACAGAGCTGTGAATTCAAACTTTTCAATTTATTGTTTTTCTGCTACTTGCCTTTAATATATATATATAAAGTGTAAATCCCAAATACTGAAATACTTGATCCACCATTTTAATCGACTCTTGGAATTCTCTCTGAGATACATTTTGGGGATGGCATGCCAAGTCTGTCTTCCTCAGTGTTATACCTGAGACGGATGTGGTGGGTGCGCTGGGAGTCCCGTATCCGTAATCATTTACAGCGATCACTCGGAAGTCGTAGTTCAGTCCCTGCTTCAGGATGTCTATGCTGAAGGTATACGATGTCGCCTCTTTAGGGATATCTTTGATTAGAATGTCCCACAGGCCTTCATCTGTGTGGGACAAACAGAACATGTCCTTCCAGTGAGTTTTTATACAGAACTCATCACATAGTATATGGTAATCATAGGATCTTATGATTACCTGAAGGCCTTGCCTCGATGATGTATCTGGTGATTGGACTCTTCCCTGGATCTCCACTCGACCAGTGGATGGTGATTGCTGAGCTGTATCTGGATATAAAAGGCTCTCCTGGTGGACCTGGGGCACCTGAGTCATAAATATACAGAAGAAAAATGCAGTGATTTCCTTCATCCGGGATGATAATTAAACGTGGCTTACCTTTTATTACAAATACCCCAATTACAATGAATCTTTCAGTGCCTGCTATATGAATGTGTTGCTTAGAAACAGACACCTACCTTCTCCAGGACCAGTCGTCACATTCGCTTCAAGGTCTGGTCCATAAGTAAAGGTTTTGGCCCGGATCCGGAACCGGTAAGTCACTCCTTCAGCCAAATCTTTCAGCTTCATCCACAGGGCACTGTTTCCCTTCACGTCCACTGTCACAATCTTGCTCACCCCTGAAAATCATATCCGAAAAGAAATGTGATTTCACCAAGATTTACTAAATAAATGGCTTGCGAGCTGCGTGTTTTGGTTTTGTTAGTGTAGGTTTGTACATGGCCGTTAAGGAACATATTTTTCCTTGCACATGCTTACCATCTACTGGGGAGCAGGGTTCGTACACCAGCCGATACCCCTCCAGAATACCATTGGGGTAGACGGGTATATCCCACGAGACATTGACAGAGGTGGTGGTTAACTCACTAAACCGGATTGCGGCTGGAGCACTTGGGGCTGGGAATGAGAGGATAAAATGATTATGATTTTTGTGGCACCTTATCTTCACACAACAAAGCTGCAATGACTGTAGATAATCTGAATTGAATGCGTTCAATTAACAGCTGGTGAAAACTAGAACCACGGGTACAAAGTAATAGTTTGTCTTTTATAGTGGTAGAAATAGTCCGACGTGGAGATCTAGCACTCCTAACATTAAACGAGGGTGCAGGCTCCCAAGGATACCCCCCAAAGTCGCATAGTAATAATGGACCTGCAACACCAAAAAATTGAGATCTTCATTCCACCATGTGAGTGGACTCCACAACGAGCTCCATTAAGCTTTACACAGACTCGGTGCATGGGTTAAAATGTTGCCCTGTCCACACATGGTGGAATAAAACTCTCCATTGCCAAACTATCTGGTGTTGTGGCTCTGTTATTACTTTGTTTTATAGTATTCAAGACTCACGCCAATGTAAAATCACCCAAAAAATGTGAATGAGTAAAATAAGCATCGGAGACTGCGTCATCAGAACGCCACTGAGTGGTTGCATCATACAAAACGAGAGGCATCAGACAAGGTGTCCCGAAAAGGTGCAGATGGAAAATACTTGTGTAAAGGTAATGTGCTAATGGAGAACTGGGAAAGTTTGGGGTGGAAACTGTGTGTAAATAGATCACAACAGGAAGGTGGACGTTAAAACAGTATGTATTAATCGCACTTAGTGAAAACGCCACAATCCCTCCAAATCCCAGCTAGTGAGCCATCTGAGACTGGGAGAGAAATACACCGATCTTCCAGCTGCTCTGCACCTGCTCAGGCCTTCTCCCCAAATTACTCGGCTAAATCCGGCTTGAACATCCCGCCGGGGCAGCGTGGTAACCATGACGGAATGTCACTAGACCCGTTTACACAGCAAAAAAGGCTAAACAAACATTAACCTTTAATTAGAGGTCACATTATACACTGTCATTCATAGCTTGGTTGGTTTTGTTTTTACTAAAACTTAATTTTAGGTACAATCCTATTTAACATGCTTCGCTGTTGCCATAGCAACCGAAAGAGGACCACTTACCATGATGCTCAGCGAGCCTACAGGGTCATGGCTAGTCTTCAATGTTACAGAAGAAAGACTATTAAAGTCCACCTTTTCACCCACATTTTTAGTTATTCCCTTGTTGTTACCAAGATAAAAATCCTGGAAGTGAACTAAACTGAGGAGTGTCAAAATCAATCATTTTTAGGAATCGTTGTGTGGAGCTTATTTGAAGGCTTGCAGCAATGAGATAAATTGTCACTTTGTATCGTCACAGCAAAGAGGTGACAGGAACATTTCCCCGAGGGTGTCACTTGCTGTTTGGAAGAACCTCTGACTCGTAATTGTTTTGGCTGAGATTGTGTAATTATTACAGCGACTTTGAACCTAACCAGTTAGAATAATCCGATCTGTTTGCGGTTTGTTCTTGCTAGACTGGGGGTATCTTTTATTTACTAAACCGTGAGAACAATTCTCTGGTCAGGAAAAAAGGCCATCTCTTACCACTCCACCAAAAAGCAGAGTTTCCCTGTGATCCCTTCTTTAAGGTTTGCAGTTAGTGTGTGGGTACTCACCGGCTTGCTGAGTCTGAACACGGACTGGCTGGCTCCTGGGTCCGTCACCCGCGGCATTAAAAGCTACCACGCTAATCAGGTACGTGGTATATCCGGTCAGGTTCTTCAGTTTGACTCCACTTTCTGGTAGGAACAGTGTTCTCACCTTTTCCGTCTCGTTCTTCCGCATCGCTTCCCAGAAGAATATCTGTGAGAAATACGCACATGGAGGTCAGGAAGAAAGGGGAATCCACCTCATTTATTAGCAGTGCTTATTATATATCCCTAATTAACAGTTTTATATGAAGTGTTTTAATTCACTTTCACATTTCCTGCTCAGGCACCACTTTATTGTGTATAAAATAATCTGTTTCCGATAACTTTTATTCCCCTCTTGGACATTTTGCTCAGTTTTTTTTTGCCATGATTTTACCATTGTGAATGTTCACAAAATAAGATAAAAGTAATATTGCTTGGGAAAAAAAATAAAGATAATATGAAGGATTCTTTAAATAAACTGAACAAAAACAGACAGTGAAAGTTGCTAATTTATCGCAGAAAACTCGCCAGTTTGACTGATGGAAAGGAGGCCATTTTTGAGGCACTTCCAGGCACCCCGCAATGTTTGTGTATAAAGTCTAAAACACTGAACTACTGGGTACATGAAAATGAATGTGGAATAAAATATTGATATGTGGTGTTTAATTGAAGGGGAATCGCTCAAGCATTTTATACTTTGAGACAATAAAAGTGTCCGCTGGATCAGTAATGATTGTATTTACAATATTTCAGCTCCGCCATTTACGCTCAGTAACCTTGTTAATATATATAATAGTTACAGTTTAATTCTATACGAATTATTCCAGCTCCGCCATTTACGCTCAGTAACCTTGTTATTATATATAATAGTTATAGTTTCATTTTATGGAGTAACTCCACATATGGGAACGAGAGAGCACCCTCTGCTGTCTGGCAGTGGGATTGCACCAGGCTAGATCGGCAGATATTTTGTATGTTTGGATTTTGCGCAGTTTTTTTCTCTGTCTCTAGTTCTGTTACTGTGTTCCGTGGAAATAGTTGTTCCTTGTATAATATTTTGGGGACCTGAGCTGTGTAACAGAAGCCCCCAGAGCCCATGGACAAGCCCTCAACCTGTCACACACCTTGCATGTACGGCAGACGGGATGTTTTAAAAAGGTAAATGGCGATCTGCGCTGTCTGAAAACACATTAACGGCAGAATATGATGTCGTTTCCTGGAGCCGTTCGTCTGCGCTAACATTTCATACAGGAAAAAAATAAAGTTTCTCTCTAATTAACAGAGTAACAAAGGACTGCTAATACTTTATATATGCTGTGTTGTTAAAATTTAATTAATACTAATATTTTATTTCATTATAATTTATTTAACCCCTCTCATAGCTTCTTAAACAGCAATACTCCCCGCTCCTCCCAGCATGCACCTCACTACTTTATTACTGGACACGCGTTTTTTTATTTTAGTGTATATAATATAATGCTGTATCTTAAAAGCTGCAGTTTTGAATTATTTAAATTTTATTTCTCACTTGTAATGAATTGTTGTTTTTAAGATCACTGTACAAGTTACACCATCTCGGACACGGACAGCAGTTAAACTAAACTACTCTTTGTGATTTTTAATAAATGTAGCGGTTTATCCGGTCTGCCATGAAAGAGCATGAGAGTATGTGTATAGCAGGTAATCTTGACCAGACCAGGGCAAGCATAGCTTCCCTTAATTCACCTTAAAAGGGCACGGTAGGCATTATAACCATTTCATCTCATTGAAGTGGTTAGAGTGCTTGGAGTCCCCAGGTGCTGTCTCTCCATTCAGTGTTAAACCTCTTTACAGCAGTTAAACACTGAATGAGGGTCTCTGGTTCCCACAACTCCGCCCCCAATTGAGGTGTGGCTAAGGCAGAGATTACACACTTCCTTCTAGCCGTACCGATTCATACCAGCAATGGGCGCTGTGATAGGAGGAAAGATGTCAGATGACACTCTCAGCCAATCACTGCTGCCCAGGATAATGCTTCCTCATTGGCTTCCACAGCACAGAGAGGATGGACTGCTGGGGCTCTCGTTTAGCATTAAAACATTAAAAACGGTTTAATGCCGAATGGAATTACGGCGCCAGGGGAATCCAAACATCATAACCACTTTAATGCGATTTAGTAGTTACAGTGTCCCTTTAAGCTTTGTTGTGCATGTTGTTATAGCTCACTGTGTTATTAAGCTCCAAGCTCAGGGCTCCCTGTAGGTATTCATAAAATGAAAGGCACCTTGTATCCTTGGATGTCTCCATTTTGTGTCTCTAGAGGAGGAGGATCCCACGTTAGATCAAGCTGCACGGCTGTGGCACTCTGGACAGCCACGTTTTGTGGTGGAGCTGAAGGCACTAAAACAGAAAGCATTTAGTGTTAGTGGTGTAACATATTCACTATTCTGGCTGCAGTATTACACAGTTCATAGTATTCACTATCAGATTCTCTGCGTCATGGTGCAGTCGTGCTCTGTGTGATCGTGTCAAATTCAGCCCTCTACCATGAGCGGTCCCGGTCACTATAAAGACATGTTATACCCTACCCCGGTATAAAGCTCTCTATCACATTATTACCACTGATGGTGAAAGGAGAGAACCAATTGAGAGTCTTGGATAGAGTAATTCCGAGGAAACCAGGGTGACTGAAACCCGCTGCCGTCTAACCGAATGACGAAACGTTTAAGGATTGAAACGACTCACCTGCCTCTCCTACAAACACCTCATGGGGGATGCTGGTCGGTCCTTCCCCGGCCGTGTTGTACACACTCACACGAATCTCGTAACGCTTGTGTTTGCTCAGATCTGAGATGGTAGAAAGTGACATTAAAAGCATTTACAATACGTACACTCAGGGATCATTTAATCACATTATTAATTACCAGCCTGCACAGCAGTAATTATCTATTCACGCTGCCTGGTTTTACCATGTTCCTGCAATGCCACCTTAAAGCTGGAGTCTGTGGGGCTTCCCATGATGCTCTGAAAGCAGTTCTGTATATGAAACACTAAGGCTGGTTTAGCATCATGGGAAATTTAGTCCACCATAGTTTCCAAGCCAAGGTTTGCCGTCACTGCACTAAGGATCCATTTAAAGTTACCAGCGGAATTTGCAACGTTACCAGCGGAATTCACAACACTACCAGCGGAATTTGCAAAGTTACCAGCGGAATTCACAGCACTACCAGCGGAATTTGCAAAGTTACCAGCGGAATTCACAGCACTACCAGCGGAATTTGCAAAGTTACCAGCGGAATTCACAACGTTCCCAGTGGAATTCGCAGTGCCCGATGTGGCATCATTCAGGGAAGCTGCACAGCCGCTTAAAGGGAATGTCTAGCTTGCAAAATGCATGTTTTTTTTTATGCTTCTGAACTATGCAGTTAAAGGAACACAAATACATTTATTCCTAATGCTATATTGTCCTACTCTGCTCCTTTAACACTTGTAGTGGTTATGGTGAAATAGATAAATTAGTTAGTGGATTTGTTTCAGGTGAAATTTGGCCAATATTTTCGGTTCATAATTTCCATTCAGACCATGAAATGCCGGCATCGTTGGCAAATCTTTGAGTGGCTTAGAGAAGCCCATAATTTTTTTTCCCTTACGTGGGATTGAAATATTTAAGGGTATCTTATTAATAGCTTTCATTTATCCTTAAATATGGCACTTACATTTAATGTGATCTACTAAACAGCTGAAAGATTGACAATAGCCCTTTTCTTCATTTTGGTCTTTCAAGTGTTTAGTAGCTTCATAATCCTTAAATATGGTAACCACTCATAATATTTTCAGAATTTACAAGAATGAACTAATGCAGGGGTTTCCAACCCAGTCCTCAAGTATCCCTTTTAGAAGGGAAAAAAAACCTTAGACACAACAGGGTAATCCCAAAGTCCTGGACTGGTAGGGGGGACTTGAGGACTGGGTTGGAAACCCCTGAACTAATGAATGAATCGCTCATGGAAGACTTTCTTTGTCATGGGATTAGTACATTCTTCCATTGTGCCGTTCTGAGATTTGGACGAGACACAATTTTCCTCCAAATTTCAATTCTTTTAAACAGGAATGGCCAATAGTCTGGTGAATAGCTCTGAGGGTGAGTCAGCTCCTAATACGCACTCAGCCCCTCTCCGTCACACCCGCTGAACCTGAATAATGTCATTACACAGCCGGTATCACTCGGGTACAGCTTAGCTCCCATTTAGCACAATGATAACAGAGCACTTACTGTCCAGCTCGTACTGGCTGAGAGACGGCTCACTGAGGTTCCGGATCATGTAGGCCGCTAAACAGGAGGTAGACATGCAGGGGATGGGGTGGTAGGAGGATGTGCAAAGGGAGGAAAGGAAAACAGTGACGGACTGTTAGTATACACTGAGCAGGACATACAGACAAACAAAAGCAAATTCCAAATACCTGCAGCTGGGATACACAAACACTTTGTGCTATTCTCCTGTGCGATACTGTTATTCTCCAAGGGTTAGCTTGCTATGAATGTATCTGAGTTTGACTCCCCTGGCCCTGGGTGTTCACTACAATGGTCTAACAGCCAGCTCCATTCAATGGCAAGTCCACTAAAGACTGCCTAAACAGTGGCAACTATCACCACCTCAGTCACATCACGTTTCCATCAGTGTCAGGGCATGGCTGAGAGTTATAAGAGTTGCTCAGCACCCTGGCCGCTCTCAGTCCCACAGTGAGAACAGCCGCTAGCTAAGAGTATTTTATATTAACATGCCGTCATACAGAGCGAATCATTGTGGCGCGTACCCTGTGATCACAAGAAATAGTCTCCTTTTCCAGCAAGCAGCGTTTACTGTACTGAAGAAAAAGAGTGCTTCCTTTTAAATCTCGTGGCTGTGTGAATACGTGGCTATAGGGTTTACGTGACAAACTCTGTGATCACAGCAAGATCAGGAGACTGCTATGTCTGCAATAAAGGCTTCACCCAGAATCTGACTTCGCAGTTGACACACAAACGCACATTGCACCTGTGAAATGCGATATTAACAGAGCAAAGCACGCAACAATGACACGTATAAAAGCTGCAGAGACAGCGAGAATATGTATTTTTCTAGAGTAGGAAAAGCTAGCAGGGGTGAGCTAACCCTTTCATTCCTATTAAAAATGGGCATAAAGCGCGTGCGTTTATACTTACCATTTAACTCCGCCCACTTCACGCTGGGGTTGTTGATGGTCCGTTCAGTAAAACTTCTCGGACCATCATATGCAAGTTCACGGTACCGGATCCGAACCCTAGCAGGATCCCGTTAATCTTGTCCTCTGCTGGGGCCTGTGATAATAATTATATAGGGTTAAAATTCAGGGAGAAGTCCAGAGCTGGCTTTAAATATTAATTTCTTATTTTTCTCTATCCAACGAATCTATTTATTAACCAGAACGACTGTGTGAGGTGCAGAAAGATAAAGAATGACACAGTTAATAATTCAACAGTCTTCCGAGTTACAAAGTAAAATTCGATTGGACGTGCTGGATCAATGGCGATATCACAAGGTGTGCGACACGGACTGCCAGAGATAAATGTTACCCAACGTCACTAGATCACAAAAAATAAAGAACATTACGGAAAACTTGTGTCTCTTAGTTTAATTCTGAAATATAATTGATAGTTTGTCTTGTTACCATTGATTTTCTATTTTATTTCCTTAATAGATTTTGGAATAATAAATTATGTTTTACACTCTAGTTTCTGAGAATTTTGGGGATATTTTTTGATGTGTGATCCTTTTGAAGGCATTCTGTTTGCAGAGTATGTTATTAAATAACGATTGTCTGTCCCTACGGAATCGGCCCCCAACTCCTCCTGTGTTTTCTGGTTACATTGTGTATTGTCTCAGATGTATTGTACCTTTGTTTTGTTTTTTATTTGTACCAGTTCTACCCGTGTACGGCTCTGTGGAACGTGTTGGCGCTTCAGAAATAAAGGATAACAATACTTTCTTTTTAAAATCCAGTTTTACTACTTTGGCCTAATATGTATATTTGTAAAATGCCCAGTTTAGTGAACAGACGTGCATTATGGTAAAGGGCCGAGAGGTCGCTCTATTCTCAATATAGAGAGGGATTTAATCAATAAAATGTGAGCTTTGCTGAGTGGACAATCAGGCTCCAAACGTCGATAGGAGAATATAGTTATATAGTTATACAAAAAATCTAAACATACTGGAATAAACACAGACACGTACCTGCCAGCGAATTAGAATGGAGGTTGTGGTGTGAGGTGTCACAGAAAGAATTAATGGAGCTTCGTCAGGTGCTAGAATAAAAAATATATTTATTACATTGTTTCCTCACACTTTATAAATATCTAAACTAAATTCTCAGCAATACGACTCTGGTAAAGCCTGGCAAAGCATTATGGGATTTGTAGTTCATCAGCTGGAGTGCTATGAGGATCGAGCAGACTCCTCCAGTAGGAATCTTTGCACCATAGCCTCTATAATAAGCTGCAGTGGTTATAGTACTTGGAGTTTAACTTGTTCCGAGACCCAAGCAGTGACTGACTGAAAAGCAGAATGTACCATTTGTTCATCAGACTGATCACACCTGCACGGCAGTCCAAAATAGTCATTCGGTTCCATCCTGCTTCAATCCATGGTGCAGATCTTAAAGGAACAACACCCTGAGCAGCTTAAAGGGTTACTCCAAGCATCATAACCACCATAGTGTGCTGTATAGCCCGCTGTATACCTCGCCGTCCAGCCCACTGTATACCTCGCCGTACAGCCAGCAGTATACCTCGCCGTCCAGCCCGCTGTATACTTTGCCGTACAGTCCACTGTATAACTCGCAGTACAGCCCGCTGTATACCTCGCAGTATACCCCAGTAACGGGGCAGACGGTTTAGCAATGGTGTCCCCCCTTGCCACGGTGTTGCTGGCTCCTGGTCAGTTTGTTGTCTGACGATACTCACCAGCCTGCAGCGTAGTCAGAGACTCTGATTCCTCGCTGTATTTACTGTCCCCGATGTCATTTGTCGCTTTAACACGGAATTTATAGGAAGTGAACGGTTTCAGTCTAAGACAAAAAAATAATAATTACTCGGTGACTGTAACCATGCAGAATGTTTAACAATTAGACAAACCACTCCCATACACCTCAGCCAACACCACAGCAGCAGCTGGAGCTGATGTATAAATAACGTATAAATGTAGTAACATTAGGTAGGTAGACTTTTCAATATAGAAATTTCCCCGGACCAGGTATGGGTTAGATACTACGACTGAAAGGAACTTTAACAACTTGCAGCACCATAACCATTACAGCGTATTATATTATTACAGTTATGGCAGTGTTTATGGTCTATCGGTATTCTGCCTCTGTTTTTGTAAAACTATTTCCAAGCATCAATAAAAGAAATGGGGATTCCGGCCAGGCAAAGCCCATCTTCTCTACGCTCACTTTGCAGAGATAGACCATACGCACTGCGCTACAGCCCTTTTATTTGTCTCAGAGAGATGCCACTATTAACATTTTTGGTGTGAGAGAGGCAGAAAAGATTTGGCAGAAAGGGACACAACATTTCTACTCTGACAAATCCTCCGGTAGCTGAAATCCTCCGGCACGCCCAAAATTTGTACAGGTCACGGGATATGATATACACTATAAAGCAAAGCAGGTGTAATGATACAAAGAACTGGAGTGGTTATAGTGTACAGACTGCCCCTTGATATAATTTATAACTAAACACAGGGCACCGCTAGCGGCCATGCCCCCTTTCTCTGTGTGCGGGTATTGAGATAAAGGACGCTTAATCAATGTGTTGTTACAGGGATTCTATAGAAGATGGATCACTAATATGGGCACTGAAGAGGTTTGAGAATTGGTTAGAGGCCATCTAGGCATCATGGGAAATATAGTTCAGAGCAATTGTCATCCATCATCTCCCTAGAATATCCTAACGATAAACATTAATAGTTCATGTGACTTGACGGAGCTGAAATAGCATAATTTTACCCCAAATCTGCTTACCGGTTAACAACAGTGGAGGTGGCGTTGTGACTGACGGAGGCAGAATGCACCGTCCAGGGCCCGCTGGGAAGCTCCCGGGTCTGGATTGTGTAGTAACGTATAGGAGAGAGGCCATCGCTTCCTGGTTCCCATGACAACAGCACGCTTCGGGATTTGACATCTTCCTGTCGAACGAGGGGCTTTCCAGGGGGCTGAGGACGGTCTATTGAGGAGACAGCACATCAATCATCTCATTCCACTACATTAAAAGGAATCTCCTTCTACACAAAATGATTGAACTCATGGAATCGCCTCTAACGTAAGCAGTATTGCCCCATAAACTTTGATTACATCCCCTCTACAAGATGTGATTGTAAGTGGGAAGAGTTAATGGCCCTAGGAATAGATGGATGTAAAAATACATTAACAGGAAATATAAAACAATCTCTGCTGCCAATTAATCCTAATGAGATGCGATTACACGGATCTGGTAACCAAACGGTATCGCAGCACCTGTAACAGGTGATTAGCAAGTGAGAAAATCAAACCGTAAATAACAGACTGAAAAAAACCCAAAACAACAAAACTCCTACGTTACCCGTTTATTTTTTATGATTAATGAATCAAAAAGACATTAAAGAAATGAGGACAGATTCTGAACAATATAAATCTGGGTGTAAAAACAAAGAAATGGACAGTAACACCTGCAAGCGCTGTTTGATCCAAACATCTTAAAAGTGTAACGGGATTTTCAACCAATTCGTGTTTTACAAAATTCTGCTAAGCTTCGGTAGTATTACAGAGAGTTCCCTAACTGGAATTAAAGGGACACTCAAAACTTTAGAAGAAATGGACAATTTGTAACTCAATGTTCACTTTCCCATAAATTTAATATTATACTGACCTCTCTTCTCTGTGGTCACCACCAAAGCCTCAGCAGCTTCTCCCCACCCCTTGCGAGTTTGCGCCGTGATGCGGAAGAGATAGACTGACTCTGCTTTCAGCCCGGTGGCGGAGTACTGCCGGACGCTGGGGTTCAGCACCTCCACTGTGGCTGTATTAGCATTAGTTGTGTTGAGGCGGTGAGTGATCTGATACGCTGTAGGTAGACGGACAATTTAAAGGGAAACATCATAAAAAGACACTTTACTACAAATCACATAAAATGACTATTTCCATAATTCTTTCTATTGCTGTGTACATGACATTAGCTCAGGTCACAGATACGCACGAGATGTTGTGCTATGCTATTAGGAGAGCTCAGGCTGATATCACCTTCCACCTTATTAATGGTACTTGTAGTTCTAGTCTCTAATCAACTGCGATCTTTTATAGACATTCGGTTAGTGGAAACTCTGCATATTGATAACGGCCTTCTATGAGATTCACAGCCGAACCCTCAGTGTATAAATAATACTCACATTAATCAGATGCTATCGAGCTCAGCCATCACGTCTGCGCTTGCTATGGTTTGCTATACATTATACGTTTTTATAATGCTCAGTTGTACCAATGGCCTTTGTCTGAATAATAATGAAAAAAATCTAAATAAAGATTGTAAAAAAATAAACTAAAATTGTAGGGATTCATAGAAATCCCCCTCTCTGTCTCATGAGAGATTTTATCTTTTTTAGGGGACTTCTTAGCGTAGGACTTCCCTAAAACCATTGCCTTGATGTGGCCGGTGAGCTTGCACTTCAATGGCCATTGTAGTGTGATATTGAAAGCCTCCCAATTATTTAAATGTGCGTAGGGATTGGTAAAATCTATTTATAATGCTCCACCATGATCCACAGCGCAGTACAAACCATGAAATAATATTTTACCTAAAATGATCCCGTTGGGCGATGCGGGCGGCTGCCAGATAAGGCGGACAGAACTGTTTCTAACCTCTGGAAAAAAAATTCCAACAGGAGGACCTGGAACTGAAACCGAAAAATTGGTTATTTAAACAAAAATACCAGGAATACATCTATCAACATGTTTACTATCTTAGAATCTTACAGTATCTGGAAATTAAACACATTTTCACCCTCAGAGAGGGTGACTAGCAGTGACTCCAGAAAACACATTTTATTTTTTACATTTATCCAGATTCTAATCATTTTTCATGAACTCCACTTCGTTTCTTTTAGCGTTTTGTAAAAGTGAGTAATTAACCGAGGATTTGTAAATATTCTGCAGATCCGGCCGTCACAGCTTGGCTATTTTAAGCAAAATGTTTCAATTTAATTTTCAGTTCACTACCATTTGCTGTTTAGTGTATACGCCCCTATCTATTAAGCCTGATCAGTCAATCATGGTCCCTGGTATGAAGCGCTGTCATTCCACATTTAAACACATGAATTTCTATTGCTGTGTGACAGCGCAGCTTGGTGGAAATGGCGAATTGCCGACACTCGCCTGTAAAACCTGCAGGAGGTGAGCGCTTTCATTTGCGTTTCACTGTTCCACTCTCTAGAATTCTAGAACAAACGTAAACCAAACAGACATAGATACTTTATCCTGCACCCTGTCATGCAGTACTTCATGAAAAAATATATCTTTGAAATTTCACAGTGTAAAGTCCTTTCTTGCTCCCGAGATACAACGGGTACCAACATCCATCTCACCATCATCTAATGTCCTCTCAAAGATAGCAGGGGAGCTGGCAGCTCCGTCACCGATTCTGGTGAACGCCAGGACTTGGATCTGGTAAAGGACGTACTTCCCCAGGCCAGAAAGCAGGACGCTACGGGAGGAGTTACCCTCCACCAGCCAAAACTGAGTGGGACTGTCAGAGTCCTTCTCCTTGTACAGGACCTAAAATAGTGAAGGTGAGAGGCAGTAGTAAGACGTACAGTGTCCGAGTGAGTGGGCAATAAATCGAGACGTAAAATTTCCCTACTAGGAAAGCTATACCTGGAGCAATGTGTGATCTAATTCCCGCAAGACAGAGAGAAAAGCAAAAAAAAATACACATTGCGTCTGTCCTCCAGGTGGGCACCCCCACTATTTCTTTCATTATTCACAGCAACACACAGGATTTTGTTGAATGGCGACGAATACTGGGACCTTTCAAATTCCCACCTGATGACAACTACAAATCCCATAAATCTCTGCTGGCTAATGTATTCAACACACCTTGCAAAGTCTGAGAAGGCACACTGGCAGAGGCTTCGTGGTCATTGTAGCAGAAAAGGCTTCTTAAATGTATTTATTTATTTATTTAGAAGAAGAGTGTTAATGTGTTTAACCCCTTAAAGGACCACTCTAGGCACCCAGACCACTTCAGCTTAATGAAGTGGTCTGGGTGCCAGGTCCTTCTAGGGTTAACCCATTTTTTTATAAACATAGCAGTTTCAGAGAAACTGCTATGTTTATGAATGGGTTAAGCCTTCCCCTATTTCCTCTAGTGGCTGTCTCATTGACAGCCACTAGCTTGCGTGCCTCTCACTGTGATTTTCACAGTGAGAGCACGGCGATCCATAAAGCATTAAATGCTTTCCTATGTGACAGCTGAAGCAGCTCTTGCTGGCTGCCAGCGGGCGGAGGAGGAGGCAGGAGAGAGCTCTCCGCCCAGCGCTGGAAAAAGGTAAGTTTTTACCCCCTTCCAGAGCCGGGCGGGAGGGGGACCCTGAGGGTGGGGGCACCCTCAGGGCACTATAGTGCCAGGAAAACGAGTGTTTTCCTGGCACTATAGTGGTCCTTTAAGGACACATGACATGTGTGACATGTCATGATTCCCTTTTATTCCAGAAGTTTGGTCCTTAAGGGGTTAAAGCGGTGTTTGGGGATAATAAAAAAAGAGTTTGGGTTTATTCAGTAGAGTTGCTTAACATACCAACCGACTATTCAATAAAGTGAAAATTCAAATTCCAGGTCCAAATAGCCCAACTGGAAACATTCTCTAAGGCAGCGATGCTCCCAGTTTGGCTTCTCTGGTCTTAAATTTGAATTCCCATTTATTTAGTGTCACTGTCTGTGGGATTCTGCATTTCATGTTTTCCGCTTCCAGTTTAGACTTTACTGATCTCTAGAGCTGCGAGCAGGATGGATGACCAATCCCTGTCCGAATGTTGATGCATTGTTGACACAGTTACAAAAAACTACCTAGAAATCTACAGAACATGACAGGCTTGCTCGTCCACATTTTATCAAAGCTCATACCTTGTATCCGAGGATGAGGCCATTGCGTTCTGCCTCTGGGATCTCGCTCCAGCGCACCAAGATGCTGCTTGAAGTTGTGGCCAGAGCAGAGACATTGGTTGGACCAGAGGAAGGGACTGCAAGAGAAGAAGGGCTGAGATAAAGCTTTGAACCTTAGAAACAGGAGATGGAAAGTTCTAAGATAGTCAGAGAAGCCGCGGTGTGAGGGTGTATGGTCACTGTGTGTCCCCAGAATATAGAATCCCCCCAACGTTGAGATCTTGCTAGCTGTGCCCAAGTCTTCCACTTGCGTTTAGTAATGCCATTACATTTTTATTTCTCTGAGTTGCTGCCTTACCTGATTCTCGCGTCCTCGCCAGAGCGATAGGACTCCAAGGCCCAGCTCCGATAGTGTTAAAGGCCTGAATCTGCACCCTGTATTCCATCCATTCCTCCAAGTCTTCAATGGTGTATTCCCTCTCAATTCGATCATGGATTACATGTGTGAAAGCTTTCCCTTTGCCATCAGACCGCATATACCGGATTTTATATCCCACGGATTCGGGGATGCCGTTGTAAGCAGTTTCCAGCAGAGGCTGTGGGAGGAAATGGTGGAAGTGAGTTTCAGGACACAGTAAATCTATTAAATGGACGGTACAGATACCTAGAGCTTTTACAGGTTAATAAACTGATGTTTGTTTGAAAATGACATTAAAGATACTGTGTAAGCCATGGCATAGGTACTTACCACCCAGCGAACCCACAAGCTGGTCTGACTAGCAGTCCGTAGCGTCACATTGGCTGGGAACATGTCTGGAGCTGCTTGCAACGTCTGGAGTTTTCTGGAGGGCGTACTTGGGGGACTTGTGCCCACAATGTTCACCTGTCTCATACGGAAGCTGAAGGAAAAGAAACCAGATTAATATGTAATGCTCCAAAGTTCTTCAGTGAGATTCCCTCCCATCCTGTGAACATATAAATCCTCGACCCCAGTCCTCACTTACACCCTCACATTACCTGTAATGCGTATATGGGTTCAGTCCTGGCACCACTAAGGATCTGGCATTAGGTTCATTTGCCAACTGATGTATGAGAACCCAATCTTCCGTCTCCCCCACCGTACCTATCTACAATGGAAAAAGGGGCAGATTACATTGTATCAATGTGATAATAAAAACAGGGCGCTAACAACAAATTGTAATTAGACAATCTCCTGTGCGTTACCTGAGCTTCCACCTGCCACCTGGATATTGAGGTCTTTCCGTCATATCCTGGTCGGAACTGTAACGTGACAGAACGAGGGCCAATGTTACCGATCCCCAACACAGTTGGGGCTCCAGGGAGCTCTGAAAAACAGTAAGAGGTTAGAAAGCCTTAAAGTATAATATGAAAGAGAAAAATATAATTTTAAAGGAACACTATAGGGTCAGAAACACAAACGTATTCTTGACCCTATAAGGCAAAACCCACCCCTCAGAATGGGTTAAAACCCCCCTTATTTCCAGCTCTCCACGGATCTGCCGGCGCTGGCCCCGCCCCCTTGGTGACATCATCACAAGTGCTGATTTTTAGCCAATCCAATGCATTCCCGATTGGCTAAAATCGTCAAGGGGGCGTGGCCTATGAGGAAAATTCAAAATACAACAAGCTGTAGTTGTTCTGGTGACTATAGTGTCCCTTTAAGTAAAGTCGGTTACAGCTTTAAATGTACTCATTCCAATTAAATGTATTCTAATTCACCTCCATTTTCAATTCACCCAAACAAGGAAAGAATTCTGCCACTTTCTTAACATTTGTTAATCTCCGCGACTCTGCACAGTGCTCGGTACAGCAAAGCTGTGGCCTTCTAACAGAGGATCCATAGCATGTGTCACAGTTTGTGGCTAGAATTAATAATTCACTTTAGCTTTTACTGCCATTTCAAGTCATTAAAAAAAACACAAGGTTCCCTTTTCCTCTATGAATGTGTTTATCGTCTTACCTGGAGGGACTCCCGAAGAGATGGTGGATGACGACACAACACCTTGGCCTTTAGAAGTCATTCCAGCAACCTGGATGGTGTAAGTGGTAAGTGAGGTGAGGCCGGTCACTCTGTACTCCAGGGTGACATTGGGTAGGTAATGCGTGACCCTAGTGTTGGTTTGGTTAAACTCTTCCCAGGAGATCTTGTAACCTGCAAGCAGAGTTATAGTTAAGGTGGTTTTGAATATCCTTTGTAATCTCTGTGTATTGACATTTCTTTCAGTATCCCATTCTGTCTCCAATATCGATTCACCAGTCGGTATCCCATTCTTACTCAGTATGGACCCACCAGTCGGTATCCCATTCTTACTCAGTATGGACCCACCAGTCAGTATCCCATTCTTACTCAGTATGGACCCACCAGTCAGTATCCCATTCTTACTCAGTATGGACCCACCAGTCAGTATCCCATTCTTACTCAGTATGGACCCACCAGTCGGTATCCCATTCTTACTCAGTATGGACCCACCAGTCGGTATCCCATTCTTACTCAGTATGAACCCACCAGTCGGTATCCCATTCTTACTCAGCATGAACCCACCAGTCGGTATCCAATTCTTACTCCGCACGGACCCACCAGTCAGTATCCCATTCTTACTCTGTATGGACCCACCAGTCAGTATCAAATTCTGTCTACAGTATAGACCCACCAGTTAGTATTCTATTATTTCTCCAGTATGGACCCACCAGTTAGTATTCTATTATTTCTCCAGTATGGACCCACCAGTCAGTATGCCATTTTTACTCCGTATGGAGTCAGTATCCCATTCTCACTCAGTATGGAGCTACCTGTCAGTATCCAATTCTGACTCCGTATGGATCCACCAGTCAGTATCCCATTCTTACTCAGTATGGACCCACCAATCAATATCCCATTCTCACTCAGTATGGAGCTACCTGTCAGTATCCAATTCTGACTCCGTATGGATCCACCAGTCAGTATCCCATTCTTACTCAGTATGGACCTACCAATCAATATCCCATTCTCACTCAGTATGGAGCTACCTGTCAGTATCCAATTCTGACTCCGTATGGATCCACCAGTCAGTATCCCATTCTTACTCAGTATGGACCCACCAATCAATATCCCATTCTCACTCAGTATGGAGCTACCTGTCAGTATCCAATTCTGACTCCGTATGGATCCACCAGTCAGTATCCCATTCTTACTCAGTATGGACCCACCAATCAATATCCCATTCTTACTCTGTATGGACCCACCAGTCAGTATCAAATTCTGTCTACAGTATAGACCCACCAGTTAGTATTCTATTATTTCTCCAGTATGGACCCACCAGTCAGTATGCCATTTTTACTCCGTATGGAGTCAGTATCCCATTCTTACTCAGTATGGACCTACCAATCAATATCCCATTCTCACTCAGTATGGAGCTACCTGTCAGTATCCAATTCTGACTCCGTATGGATCCACCAGTCAGTATCCCATTCTTACTCAGTATGGACCCACCAATCAATATCCCATTCTCACTCAGTATGGAGCTACCTGTCAGTATCCAATTCTGACTCCGTATGGATCCACCAGTCAGTATCCCATTCTTACTCAGTATGGACCTACCAATCAATATCCCATTCTCACTCAGTATGGAGCTACCTGTCAGTATCCAATTCTGACTCCGTATGGATCCACCAGTCAGTATCCCATTCTTACTCAGTATGGACCCACCAATCAATATCCCATTCTTACTCTGTATGGACCCACCAGTCAGTATCAAATTCTGTCTACAGTATAGACCCACCAGTTAGTATTCTATTATTTCTCCAGTATGGACCCACCAGTCAGTATGCCATTTTTACTCCGTATGGAGTCAGTATCCCATTCTTACTCAGTATGGACCTACCAATCAATATCCCATTCTCACTCAGTATGGAGCTACCTGTCAGTATCCAATTCTGACTCCGTATGGATCCACCAGTCAGTATCCCATTCTTACTCAGTATGGACCTACCAATCAATATCCCATTCTCACTCAGTATGGAGCTACCTGTCAGTATCCAATTCTGACTCCGTATGGATCCACCAGTCAGTATCCCATTCTTACTCAGTATGGACCCACCAATCAATATCCCATTCTCACTCAGTATGGAGCTACCTGTCAGTATCCAATTCTGACTCCATATGGATCCACCAGTCAGTATCCCATTCTTACTCAGTATGGACCCACCAATCAATATCCCATTCTTACTCTGTATGGACCCACCAGTCAGTATCAAATTCTGTCTACAGTATAGACCCACCAGTTAGTATTCTATTATTTCTCCAGTATGGACCCACCAGTCAGTATGCCATTTTTACTCCGTATGGACTCACCAGTCAGTATCCCATTCTTACTCAGTATGGACCTACCAATCAATATCCCATTCTCACTCAGTATGGAGCTACCTGTCAGTATCCAATTCTGATTCCGTATGGATCCACCAGTCAGTATCCCATTCTTACTCAGTATGGACCCACCAATCAATATCCCATTCTCACTCAGTATGGAGCTACCTGTCAGTAAGCCATTCTTCTCTGTGGGCTCCTGCCATGTCACCCTCAAAGAAGTGTCCAAGATGTCATCGAAGCTCAGATGGCCAACTGGACCAGGAACTATTAAAAATACAGACCAAAGCAGATCAAATCAGACTGTGTGACACCCCACAAAGCTACAAAAAAATAACAGTAGAATCTGAGAAACTCTAGATGCAAATCATTTTGTTGTTTCAAGAAAAGAAGAGGGCATGAATACATCATCGATGGTTTTTCCATAATGGGATTTTGCCGTACCATCCTCCTGCGTCCAGACTAGTTGAGGGGGACTGCTTGGTCCGTCCCCTGGAGAGGTGAAACACAGGACTGATGCCATGTAACTGGTAAACTTCTTGAGACCAGTGATGAATCCCACGTGGATGCTGTCTTGGAAGTTGGGTCGCACTACGACTACTGTGATATCATCTTCCTGTGCTGGATCCCATGTAATTAGCTGAGAAGAATGGAAGCATGGCGGTTAGAATGTGCTATCTGGGTAACATTTACTGTGATATCATCTTCCTGTGCTGGATCCCATGTAATTAGCTGAGAAGAATGGAAGCATGGCGGTTAGAATGTGCTATCTGGGTAACATTTACTGTGATATCATCCTGCGCTGGATCCCATGTAATTAGCTGAGAAGAATGGAAGCATGGCGGTTAGAATGTGCTATCTGGGTAACATTTACTGTGATATCATCCTGCGCTGGATCCCATGTAATTAGCTGAGAAGAATGGAAGCATGGCGGTTAGAATGTGCTATCTGGGTAACATTTACTGTGATATCATCTTCCTGCGCTGGATCCCATGTAATTAGCTGAGAAGAATGGAAGCATGGCGGTTAGAATGTGCTATCTGGGTAACATTTACTGTGATATCATCCTGTGCTGGATCCCATGTAATTAGCTGAGAAGAATGGAAGCATGGCGGTTAGAATGTGCTATCTGGGTAACATTTACTGTGATATCATCATCCTGCGCTGGATCCCATGTAATTAGCTGAGAAGAATGGAAGCATGGCGGTTAGAATGTGCTATCTGGGTAACATTTACTGTGATATCATCTTCCTGTGCTGGATCCCATGTAATTAGCTGAGAAGAATGGAAGCATGGCGGTTAGAATGTGCTATCTGGGTAACATTTACTGTGATATCATCTTCCTGTGCTGGATCCCATGTAATTAGCTGAGAAGAATGGAAGCATGGCGGTTAGAATGTGCTATCTGGGTAACATTTACTGTGATAATGGTTGATACGTGGAGCTTTGCGGCTCTTCGCTCCTGTATCTCCATATTCGCCATGATGACGTCAATCACTAAACAGCCTGAGTTGTTCCTAAAATAATAATGATGTTGCATTGAGGTAATCTTTCAGCTCTGTCCTTCATTTAACACTTGGAATAAAATATTTCTTTAAAGGTTTGGTCACCAAAGATTTAAATATCAGGCACTGCTCCCTAAAACAGTCTATACATATATATAGTCTAGGGACTAACCACCGCACCTTAAATTTACATATCATGTTCTGTGCATGGAGTCGCAGCTAACCTCGGCACCCAGCAAGCGTTTCATCTAACCCAGGGGCCATTTAGTTATTCACGAAAGTGAGAATTCTAAGTGAATTTCAAATTTAAGGTAAAAATACCAGAATTTTAAACATTCCCTGATTTTGGCCTCAAATTTGCAATTCACTTTGAATTCTCAGTTTAGTAGGTCACCCTGTTAGATTTCCCATGATGCACAGGACGGGCTGGCTGAGCATTGTGGTAAATGCAATTCAGTAACGTCAGGTCAGTTTTGTGGGGGCTGAATATAAAGTAAGCCCAGAATGTACAAACCATTAATGCCCCATAGCAGGTGGAGGTGGGAGAAGTCAGCCATAGAGTAGGTGGAGCTTACAGAAACCAAGATACTGTAAAATCCACTGAAAAGGTCTAATGTGCCGATTTTATTATTCTGTGTTTAATATTGGCTGCAGTTAGTGGGAGTTGCAGTCCGCCACACTCACACTGTCAGGGATTTCATGAGAGAAAAATGTATGGATTATCGGAATGCACGGCAGTATTCCTGCATTTTACACCGGCAGCTCTGCTAGTTTCCTATATAAACCCTGGTGTATGTGTGCATGAGACGTGCGCTCGGCAAGCTTGGCTGCTCTCGCTGTAACAGATTAGTGGTATTAGACGGATTGTTGGATCTTAATATTACATTACAGGGACAAGAGAGTACGCTTGGCATGGAAGCCGCAGTTCACAAGGCGGCCACAGGGTGTCAATGCTGCACCAGGAGAAAAGAAGGAAAGAGAAGGCACTGGGCAACAGGCGATCAAATAAAATCTAGAGATACAATGTATAAATAGGCCAATTAGCGGAACACTCCTGGGTCCTGTATATAAAGCAGGGTTTATTGCACCAAGCGCGCTTCACATCTACATTGTATACAAGACCCCTGAGTGCTACATTGCCCGCCGTTCATTAGAAACCCCCCCACCGCTGCCTAAATAGCCCCCAGGAGAATGTGCCTTTGGAATCAGAGACTCCGCACAATATAGTAGAAATTGTAATAAACTCTGACTGATGTCCAGGTGTGGCTGCGTGCATTTATAATCTGAACCACGGCGTATATCCTGCTAGGCCCGCCGCACCAACACACATTACAATTATCCTAAACACCTCAACGCGAGAACACACAGGGACTTGTTCACTAAACACGACATCGTGATATGAGCCGACAGATATTCATTCGGTATACAGCTCAATGTACGATACACAGCTCAATGTACGGTATACAGCTCAATGTACGATACACAGCTCAATGTACAGTATACAGCATAATGTACAGTATACAGCATAATGTATAGTATACAGCTTAATGTACGGTATACAGCTCAATGTACGATACACAGCTCAATGTACGGTATACAGCTTAATGTACAGTATACAGCTCAATGTACGGTATACAGCTTAATGTACGGTATACAGCTCAATGTACGGTATACAGCATAATGTACGGTATACAGCATAATGTATAATATACAGCTTAATGTACGGTATACAGCTTAATGTACGGTATACAGCTCAATGTACAGTATACAGCATAATGTATAATATACAGCTTAATGTACGTATACAGCTTAATGTATGGTATACAGTTTAATGTAGTAATTCTGCTGTTTATATCCTGTCACTGCAGTGAGAGCACTGTAAACACTGCCTTTTCATGGAAATGGTGCAGTCACTCAGACGGCCACTAGAGGTGCTTCCTATCTCAGTGCTGAGCAGTGTGCAGAAACTACATTCAGCCTATTCATGCTCTGCATGGCACGCTGAACATTCCTCCTAGAGGTGCATTGATTTCATGTAACTCTATGAGGAGATGCTGATTGGCGCAGGGCTGCGTTTTGCTGCGCATGCGTAATAGCCGCCCAATGACTTCCCATGGGCCATGGAGGCGGGCCAGCACCGGTGATACCGGCATGGCGAGGACGAAAAGGTAAGATCGGAGGGGGGGGCGGTCACCTGAATAGTTAGTTTAACATTATCGTGTCAGGAATATCTTCTTCACGCAGTCGTACACACCTCTCTGGGCTGAGAATCTCTCGTATTTACTAAAGAGAGAATTATTGAGAATTCAAAGTAAATTCCAAACTTAAGGCCAAAGTAGCCAAATTTGAAAAAATCTACAAGTCAGGTCTGCTTTCAGTTTAGCATATTTGTTCTAAAAATTTGAAATTCATTCCTCCCGAATTCTCACTTTAGTTAATAACGCTGACAGTGTTAAGGCTCCTGCTGACAGAATCATGCAGTTTAACGGAGAGCAGAAAGCCATGGTGCTGACCACCCTACCCAAGTGGACTACAAATCCCATCATGCTCAGTGAGATACTGCTTGATACGTCTGATGTAATGTAAAATAACTCCAATCAACCTCATCCAGTGTTTGGCTGAGCCTGATAAGAATTTCAGTCCACTATAGCTTTATATAGCAAGTCATCTTTTTAAAAACAGCCCTTTGACTAATTCATCCCTAAAATATGATATTTTCATATAAACTCCTAAATCTCTGTATTTCTCTGTATGAGAAGCCTTGTTCTGGGGACTTGCCCTCTTTTCTCCTAATTAGACAAAGCCCAGCAGTAACTAGGCAGTTCGTGCTCGGCAAAACGTTTTATAAAAGGCAGGTTTTTTGGGGCTTAGGAAATTTGTGCAAATTGATATATTTTTTTTCATTTTATCATGACTATAGGTTTGATTCTGTCCACCCCCCTGCAAGACAGCCAAAAGGAGTGTATTTAACCCTTCAATGTAAAAGACCACTTCATTGAGAGGAATTGTCTGGGTGACTATAGTGTCACTTCAAAGGTAAAGTTTTAACTAAATAGTAAGTGTTAGTGATTAACGACCAATTTAAAAAGCTTAGATCATAAAATAGAAACATTGCCTATGGCTAATCTGACATAAATTGTGCAATCTGCTTGTCAATTAGTCACAGCAGAGTCTTTAGTAAATAAACTCTCCTAACTGTTGCTATGAGATAATTTAACCCTTGCCCTCCCCACGTTTCCACCTCCCACGGTTCTCTTTTCCAATCCACACTCCATTTGCCTTCTTGCCTGCCTGTTATCGTTTGATTTAAGGGAGAGGGGAGCTACGAGAGCCAGGACCCACACAGGCCAAGACAAGTTAATTAGACACTGATTTCAGAATGGAATTTCTTAATCAGAAATACTAATTACAATTTAATATGGATGTTTAATATCTTCATAGTTATCGAGTTGTCTGCCAATTAAATGCATAGAGTTTGTGCAGGCCTCATGTAAGAAAGATTAATTAATGTAAATGCAGATTAATTGCAATAGGAAGTAATCAAAGGGTCATTAGGCCCGGCTGCCCTACCTCTATTGAATAACAATAATTCTTTGTTAACTGTCTATAGAAATTATTTGGCACATGATAGTGTGAAGATTCAGATTGGGTGCCACCAACATCTGTCTGTCTGTCTCTCAGATATATCTAGAAGATTTCAGTATAAGCGGTCAGCATGTGACTGGACTCGTCGCTGGAGGGTTTCGCTTCCACTCTTAGTAGACTTGCTGGTCCCAACATGTTTTTTGGACTCTTAATATGTGAATATGTGAACATGTGTACATGAAAACGGCAACGCTGCTGTATGTAGGATTCATATGCTATAGAAGGTAAATAAATTAAACAAAGAATTCTGAATAAAGTGGGTTTAGTTCGAGGAATGCGTTGGATATAGGGGTGCATGTCACAGCAAGATGTTTATATGAAGGTACCTTGTAACCCTGGTTAATCCCATTAACAAACTGAGGGCTTGGTGGGCTCCAAGTGAAACGAAGTGTGGTAGAATTAACTGCCTCGACCTTCACGTTACCAGGGGGCACGGTTGGCACTGAAAAAAAAAACACGTTAAAGAACAGGGCAAGGACAGAAACAACCAATTGAAACATATCCATTCCTTGCCCTGATAAAATAAAAGATACATCTCCCCCATTTTGTTGCATTTTACAGAATGTTTAATCCCAAAGGATCCATTTCGGTTTCTCTTTAGGTAGGTTTTCGTAGCTCACCCCCTTGCAGGGTCCACTCGGTAACTTTGGTGCTGTAGACTCCTAGCCCGGCACTGTTAAACGCAGCCACCTCTATCTCGTAGTTTGTCCAGATGATAAGATCCTCAAGGAGAACACTCATTGCGTCGTGGTTGGAGAGGTTTCTATATTGGCAACCTACAGGTAGACCTGACAGACAGTACCTGGAAGCAGGAGAGGTAGGTCAGTGGGGAGATTTTAGGTTGGCCTCTTCCAGCTTCCTGTGTCTCTATATTCCTGTCTCTCTATATGACCAAATCCTCTGTCTTCTCCATAATTCATTATTATTGCCCTCAATGTCCTCTGCCTCCTAACATGTGTCTGCCTCCTAACTTGCTTTGGCTCTCAGCCCTTGGCTTTTAGGTCTCATTGTAATTAATCCTTTCTTTTATTGTCTATTAATTATCCCTGTGGGAAACAACTCATAATATGATCTTTAACTCTCATAATTTAGCACTTACTAAACCAACAGCCCTGTTATAACTCACCAATCTGCCCCTCGCTGATGCCCCCCCACCTACCCTTTACTGATCCCCACCCCCCCAACCTGACCCTCGCTGATTCCCATCTCCCTCACCTAATGCTCGCAAAACACCACCCCCCAACCTGCCCCTCACTGATCGCCATCTCCCCCCACCTAGACTGCAATTATCCTAACCCTCTGCCTATCACTAATTTATTATGCCCTTCTAACTACCCGTCACTAATCCTACATTAAGTGTATCATCTTTAATTCTATCTCCCCATTTTTCATCACATTAGATTAACTTCTTTCTAATCCCCTTTCAGTAATTAATTGCCCCACAATGCCTCCCTCTCACTAATTTAATATCCCCCCTCTACCTTCCGCATTACTAACTCAATATTAAGCCTCACTAATCCAATTTTACCCTCCTGACTCCCCTCACTAATCCAATCTTCCCCCTCTGCCTCCTCCCTCACTAATCCAATATTCCAATCCACCCTCACTAATCCAATCTTCTCCCTCCGCCTCCCCCTCACTAATCCAATCTTCCTCCTCCACCTCCCCCTCACTAATCCAATATTCCAATCCACCCTCACTAATCCAATCTTCTCCCTCCGCCTCCCCCTCACTAATCCAATCTCCCCCTCTGCCTCCCCCTCACTAATCCAATATTCCCCCTCTGCCTCCCTCCTCACTAATCCAATATTCCCCCTCTGCCTCCCCCCTCACTAATCCAATATTCCCCTCTGCCTCTCCCCTCACTAATCCAATTCTCACTTTTACCCCATATATCATGGTAATCCTTAATTCCTATCACTAATCCCCCCGCAATGCCCTGAAGCAATCTGCCACCCAGCCCTTCTTCATATCCCCCCAGCCTTCCTTTGGACCCTTACCTGATCACATATCCCTTTAGGATGCCATTCTGATGATTTTCAGGTGGTGCTTGCCACTGGATCAAAATAGACTGGTTAGTGCGCCCACTGGCGATGACATTTTGGGGAGGGGCAGTGGGAGGCTCTTCAGGAAGGGACACTCTGTGGATAAAAGGTGACAAATTGCATAAGGGCTCAGGGCTACAGGAGCAGTGGATTGTGGGTAACAATTAAACATAAGAATTAGGATGGGTATTAAATATCCAGATTCCTTAGGAAAAACCATCCGGACGAATAACAAGCAGACGGCCCTTTCACTAATTACAGTTTACCCAGAATCCCATGTGAGTGGACAATGAAAGGGTTAACTCCCCTGTATCACCACTCACAAAATACAACTGATAAAGTCAATGTGATCACGCCTTGGGAGCACAGAGCCAGCAAACCTTTCAATAATTCCAGGAGTACGACCAAATCTCGGGCTCCGAACCTGATGGCAAAAATCAATGACCGCGGGAACTCCGGTCCATCGTCTGACACATAGAAACACTGTCTCACTAACAGATTGCAAAACTCCTCACCATAACTGGTTTTATTTCTGCTTTTACATCGTTCTTAGTGTGTTTGAAGCATGTGATGATTTATATATTACTATACGTAGGTTAGTTTAAAAAAAGTCAATAAAATAATTTTATTTAAAACGGAAAACAGAAAGGGTTTAGCGAGTGACAGGAGACACATGGTTTGTAATATATGTATCTCCTGCTTCCCTGAATTATAAACTCCAGAGCTCAGAGGCTCACAGTCCCATATAATCCACCGAGAGCAAGACTCACATGTACTGAATCTTTAACGCGCCATTAAAGAAGAAAATAAAACAACAAGCGATGCTGCACAGGTAACCCAACTTCAAAGTACTTGTATTTAAAAAAAATATATATTTTGCAGATTTTGTTCAACGTTTGTAGTTCCAACAAGTGAACATTCCTTACAATGGCTTCCTGGACAATATATCCCCCATTCAACAGGTGTGTTTATTGCCATTACTGTGCCCACATTGACCCCCTGTGTGGAGACGTTTTACCATAAAGATATATTTTTGAGAATGGTAACCAGATAGCGAGCCTTACCGGTGAGTGTCCTTGCTAAACTGCCCCTTGCCCACATCGTTCACTGCGCAGAGACGGAACTGGTAGGAACGCGCAGGGGTGAGATTTCTTACGACCATGGAAGTGAGATCTGGATCAACACTGGCAAAAAGGATGGTCCAGGGGGCATCTGGGGAGACATGGCAGAGAATGCATTCATTTCACCATTCTCTCTACCATTAAACCCCAGCGCTCACATATAATTATTAATCTCATATACAACCAAATATACCATTCCCTGCATTTTATATACCCTGTATACATAGCTTCTGCACCTGCAGGTAGGTCCCTAGAGCACTGATGGATACTGGACAATACAAATATTTGTGGATTACACCTTTTCTGTGCTACTCAGCTAGACTTCATGGTAACTTTGCATGGGGTTCGGCCATGATTTCCAAGACCTTCGGTCCCCCAGCTAGCAAATGGCACAGTGAGTTAAAACGTTAAAATCAAATGAATGAAACGGTCGATTTCTGCTCGCTGACATCCGTGAAATTATTAGGCTCAAGTTTACATACCGCCAGTGTCACTTTAATTCCTAATTCTCACAGATTATATTGGGAAATATAAACTCTGCAGGTGTTAGCGATGGCATCACACAGGACACGTCTGATATCTCAGCTGATGCAGATTACAAATCCCATAACACTTAGCAGACTCTCCGCAGCAGCTGGAATACCAGTGCTTATTACCCCCACTGTAACTTGCAAGGGGCATTTCAATGACACAAGGATAAAAAACCCATCACGCTGTCTGTGCCAGGCAGTCGTACAGAGTAAGATAAATGAGGTCTATGGTGTATGGAAATCAGAGAAGGGGCTGCTCTTGGGGTTTGGTCCTTTGGGGTGTTAGATGGGATGTAAGATCTGCATATGATATGCGCAGGCAGGCGAAAGATGCTAAATCTCTCTGAAGGAGTCTCATAAATATGGAACACAGCTCACAAGGCAGAGATGCCGGCAAATAATCCAGCTGGGTTAACCCCCAAGAGGCAACGGTGAAGCAATGTCTGAGTGGCCACTCCGCCTGTGTAAGAGTTAACAACTGTATTGAAAATAATACATTTTCACAATGACTAGAACCGGCACGTTATTCATTACAGGGCGTGTTATAGGCGCCTCTTAGTGGATTAGTAACTTAAAAACAAACCCTTCACTGAAAATACTGACTCTTAACACAAAAAAAGGATGGATTTATTTAGGGAAAAACTGGAGGGATTCTGGGCAGAATTACAAGACAAAAGAAAAGCAAATCATTGTAAAGGTGTCTGTGTGATTGCATTCTATTTAGCACTTTGAGACAGAATTGCAGGTAAATGTGGCATTTAATATTAAATGGGGGAGGGGGTGTTAGCATTTAAAGGGTTAGTGTCATGATCTGATTTGCTATTCCGCTCTGTGTCTTGATGCTAAGCTATCTATCTACAGGATGTGCTTATCTGCACAATACAATGTTACCGAGCGCTGCGCCTTTCATACCAAGTAAGTTTGTGTGCCATAAAAAAGGGAAAAAAATTCAATTTACAGGAAAAAGAAAGCAGGGAGGGGGGGCTACTTAAAGGGACAGGGCACTAAATACACAGAATGTAGTTAACCATTGGTTTGGCCCACGTACAGTGAAGAACAGTGTGTGAATGTAGAAGACACGGGATTCTAACGGGTTACTAGTGAGAAGCGACATGCCAGATTCTAGAACAGAATTTACACAGGGGAGTCGGGGACATTTCCCCTAACACCTCTCTCAGTATTATGTATCAGGTATACGAAAATTTGTGTCTTCCCAGCTCCTCTCCTGAAAGGCAGCTTCCAAAAAGGCTAACTCCCACTAATCACAGGCAGGTCAGCCGTGAATATTACTATTATTATTGTTATTATTTATATAGGGCCATCAAATTCCGCAGCGCTTTACAATGGGTTGACTTACAGACATGTAGTTGTAACCAGACAAGTTGGACACACAGGAACAGAGGGGTTGAGGGCCCTGCTCAATGAGCTTACATGCTAGAGGGAGTGGGGTATAGTGTCAGTTACAGAGGGAGTGGGGTCAAATGACACAAAAAGGTAAGGAAAGTATTAGACTAGTGACAGTTGCAGACATGGTGTGATGTCACCCAGGATCTATAGTGCACAGTGTGATGTCATCCAGGATCTATAGTGCACATAGTGTGATGTCACCCAGGATCTATAGTGCACGATGTGATGTCACCCAGGATCTATAGTGCATGGTGTGATGTCACCCAGGATCTATAGGGCATGGTGTGATGTCACCCAGAATCTATAGGGCATGGTGTGATGTCACCCAGGATCTATAGTGCATGGTGTGATGTCACCCAGGATCTATAGGGCATGGTGTGATGTCATCCAGGATCTATAGTGCACATGGTGTGATGTCATCCAGGATCAAAAGTGCACGGTGTGATATCATTCAGGATCAATAGTGCACGGTGTGATGTCACCCAAGATCTATAGTGCACGGTGCAATGTCACCCAGGATCTATAGTGCACAGTGTGATGTCACCCAGGATCTATACTGCACAGTGTGATGTCATCCAGGACCTATAGTACACAGTGTGCTGTCATCCAGGATCTATACTGCACAGTGTGATGTCATCCAGGATCTATACTGCAGTGTGATGTCATCCAGGATCTATAGTGCACGGCCACCCATCTTACTGTAGATACTTATATACTTACCATAGATATATATTTGATTATTATTAATATTAAATCTACTCCATGCGTACATACATACACATTAACTCCATACATTCTTTCATTAACTCACTTCTATATCAGGACTCAAAATGTCCACATGCCACTACCCATTGGCGAGTGGGCACAGACACCAGGGATGCAGCAATGAGTACATTTAAATATTTCTAGACCCATTACACTAGCCCTGCACACATTCTGCATCTTGTTATCCTTCAAACTCGATATAACATTCGCCAGCTCTCTGCAGATCATAAACTCTGTGACATTGCGCTGCGCTATGATATAGTAAGTGCAACGTGAGTCTCAGAATTACTGCTGCAAAATCAGCATCTTCGCTGCTAGGAATGGAATGACGTCCCATAAAACGAGCCGAAAATGAAGCTGCAGATGTGCTATACTGGGGGAAATGCAATCCGACATAAACAGCACCGTGGCACTAAAACAGCACGGTTAAACTGCCAGGGAGTGTGGCAAACAAACGGCTTGCTCCACAACACTGCTATTTCCTTACTCTATAGGATCCTTGGATTACAGCCATGTTTTTAGAAATGGCAAACCGTTTTAACATTTTCTACTGTGATGCTTTCACTGGGGAACAAGTCCAGGACTCCACTACTTCTTCTTTTGGAGAGGAGATGTTCACGGCGTGTCTTTGTAAACACTTACTGTTCTCAGATACCTCCAGGATGTACCGAATCAGTGGGCTGTTTCCATCGAAGGGTCTGGCCCACGTCAGATTGACAGCTCTATGCTCTATGATGCTCAGCATGGCCATGGGGTTCTCGGGAGCATGTGGGAGCTGCCTGCAATAAGAGACATGAGGATCAGTATGAGATGAGCAAATCGTCCACCTCTTCCTGCAGCAAATCTTGGATTAACATTGTGTTAAACCTAATGATATTGGTGTATTGTGGAATGGTTCACGGAGAGAAATTTGCACAGAAGACCGAACCATGCCTTTCACAGCAGGAAGATCTCTGGAGGTGCCTCAAAGCTGGGGATGTCTGGTGCTCAGCCACTATTTCTAAAATTAACATTTAAATAGATTTTTTTGCAAATTTCCCCAGTGTTTTAAGCTTTCAGAATAACTGCATTGAAATGAGTCTCTGTATTGCATTGGATTGCAGAATTAAAAATAACAATGAGACGTGAGGTCACTGTAGGTCCAACAATGCAGAAAGTTAAAGGATAGATATTTCCATAAAGGGGGAGGACCTACCTGACCCGCAGGTGAGCACTTCTGGAGTCATTGCCTGCCACGGACAAGATGCGGCAGGTGTACGTCCCAATGTCGCCAGACCACGTCTGAGAGATATGCAGCGAGCCATTTTTGTCCAGTTGAATCCTTGGAGAATTATCTATGTTTAGTGGGACTCCATCCTTCTCCCACGAGTACCTGGGTTCATGGAGAGGGAGACACAACACATAATTCAATGCACAGCATTGTATAGTACGACTGAGCATTTCCCTACAAGCCTACTGTATATCTTGGCTGTAAAATAATGCAGATTATTACTGAAATAAAAGTTAGTTACTAATTAGAAGGGTATAAATTGGAGTCAGTTTTGAGCCCCCAGTTTGTTATGATCCATCAGGATTTCTGCCTAAATACAGGAGGCTTATAGTTCAGATGGTTTTAGATTCTATCTGGTTTATTACACAGGTCCTCGGACTGGGCCACATAAACTACCAACAGGATGAAATGTGAGAATTTCCACATCACTGTGCGTTTATAGATCAAACTATTGGATCCTAGTAACTGACTCAGAGAAAGACATTCATTTAGCCAAGAAAACCTATTAATGAAAATCTGTCCATTTCTTATTTAGTTATTATGAGATGTTTTGAGATGCCCGTATGTAACATCACTACCTGCAAATTGTTGGGGCGAATCCGACAAAAGAGGTTTTAAAAATGGCTACCCCCACAAAGCAACCGAAAGTCACAATATTCATTAATAAAAACGTATTTATTTATGTGAGTGCATAACAAATAATACACAGAGTTCCTACAATAATGTATTTATCCTTTTACTTTAAATAAACAAATTAAGACATTTTTCCTTTAAAATGCTGCATTTTCTGCAATAACGTGAATCACGGACAGCGAAGGGTTACGTTTAGTATCTGTCACTCGGCCCTTTAATCTTCCCAGTGTCCCAAAATGCACTGGAAGAAGTTTCTGCTTGAAATGATACATATGCTGTAGATGTGAGAATTAATATCGCCCAATAAAATATTCACTGCAGATGAAGTTAAGTAAGATTAATTTTTTAACTCCTATTAAATTTTTCACAGAGTTCACTACGGGTTTCCTTTCCCCCTGCTGTCAGCAACCAATTAGGAATGTTTAATTTTCCCTTCATTATCTATGGGTGAGACAGAGAAAGGAAATGTGATTGTGTTAATTAACTTTGGGTCCCCCCGAGCTCTGGCCTGGTACAGGGGTGTGTGACCCCAAATTATAGCTTATTAGAAAGCCAGAGACGGCACAAACAGAGCATCAAACGTCCACGTCATTTATTACCGCACAACGCAATTTAATCCACAAGGAGACAATGATGATAAGAACCAGAAGGGCCAAAATTGGGGAAATCTCACGGAAACAAACTGGGATTGAGGATACATAGTATACTCCGATAATGTACATGGTGCTATACAAGGATACATAGTATACTCCGATAATGTACATGGTGCTATACCAGGATTCATAGTATACTCTGATAATATACATGGTGCTACATAGTTACATAGTTACATAGCTGAAAAGCGACTTGCGTCCATCAAGTCCAGCCTTCCTCACATTTGTTTTTTGCTGTTCATCCAAAAGAAGGCTAAAAAACCCAGTTTGAAGCACTTCCAATTTTGCAACAAAGTAGGAAAAAATTCCTTCTTGACCCCAGAATGGCAGTCAGATTTATCCTTGGATCAAGCAGTTATTACCCTACATTGAAAGATTATATCCTTGAATATTCTGTTCTTGCAAGTATGCATCTAGTAGCCGTTTGAACATCTGTATGGGCTCTGATAAAACCACTTCCTCAGGCAGAGAATTCCACATCCTGATTGTTCTTACAGTAAAAAAACCTTTCCTTTGCCTTAGACGAAATCTTCTTTCTTCCAGTCTAAACGCATGGCCTCGTGTCCTATGTAAAGTCCGGTTTGTGAATAGATTTCCACACAATGGTTTGTATTGGCCCCGAATATATTTGTATAATGTTATCATATCCCCTCTCAGGCGACGTTTTTCTAAACTAAATAGGTTTAAATTTGTTAACCTTTCTTCATAGCTGATATGTTCCATTCCTTTTATTAATTTTGTAGCCCGCCTCTGCACTTTTTCTAGTGCCATAATATCCTTCTTTAGAACAGGTGCCCAAAATTGCACAGCATATTCAATATGTGGTCTTACCAGTGATTTATAAAGAGGCAAAATTATATTCTTGTCCCGAGAATGAATGCCCTTTTTCATGCATGACAATACCTTACTGGCCTTGGCCACTGCTGATTGACATTGCACATTGTTGTATAGTTTGTTGTCTATAACAATTCCCAAGTCCTTTTCATGTGTTGTTATCCCTAATTCGCTTCCATTAAGGGTATACGTTGCTTGTGTATTCTTTACGCCGAAGTGCATAACTTTGCATTTTTCAACATTAAATTTCATCTGCCATTTGAGTGCCCAGTCCCCCAGTCTATCTAAATCTCTCTGCAGCAAAGTAATATCTTGCTCATTGTATCAAAGTTTTGTGTCATCTGCAAACACTGAAACATGACTTTCAATGCTGTCTTCAAGATCATTTATAAACATGTTAAATAGAAGGGGTCCCAGAACAGACCCCTGAGGGACACCACTTGCCACCTCTGTCCAGCTTGAAAATTTACCATTAATGACAACTCTTTGTACTCTGTTTTTAAGCCAATGTTCTACCCAAGAACAAGCATTTTCATCTAGACCGATTTCCTTGAATTTGAACACTAATCTATTGTGTGGAACTGCATCAAATGCCTTGGCAAAATCCAAATAGATCACATCCACGGCAACACCCTGATCAATACTTCTACTTACTTCTTCGTAGAATGCAAGGATACATAGTATACTCCGATAATGTACATGGGGCTATATAAGGATACATAGTATACTCTGATAATGTACATGGTGCTATACCAGGATACATAGTATACTCAGATAATGTACATAGTGCTATACCAGGATACATAGTATACTCCGATAATGTACATGGGGCTATATAAGGATACATAGTATACTCTGATAATGTACATGGTGCTATACCAGGATACATAGTATACTCTGATAATGTACATGGGGCTATACCAGGATACATAGTATACTCTGATAATGTACATAGTGCTATACCAGGATACATAGTATACTCTGATAATGTACATGGTGCTATACCAGGATACATAGTATACTCAGATAATGTACATGGGGCTATACCAGGATACATAGTATACTCAGATAATGTACATGGGGCTATACCAGGATACATAGTATACTCTGATAATGTACATGGTGCTATATAAGGATACATAGTATACTCTGATAATGTACATGGGGCTATATAAGGATACATAGTATACTCAGATAATGTACATGGGGCTATACCAGGATACATAGTATACTCCGATAATGTACATGGGGCTATACCAGGATACATAGTATACTCAGATAATGTACATGGGGCTATATAAGGATACATAGTATACTCTGATAATGTACATGGGGCTATACAAGGATACATAGTATACTCTGATAATGTACATGGGGCTATATAAGGATACATAGTATACTCTGATAATGTACATGGGGCTATATAAGGATACATAGTATACTCCGATAATGTACATGGTGCTATACCAGGATACATAGTATACTCCGATAATGTACATGGGGCTATACAAGGATACATAGTATACTCAGATAATGTACATGGGACTATATAAGGACACATAGTATACTCTGATAATGTACATGGGGCTATATAAGGACACATAGTATACTCTGATAATGTACATGGGACTATATAAGGACACATAGTATACTCTGATAATGTACATGGGGCTATATAAGGACACATAGTATACTCCGATAATGTACATGGGGCTATACCAGGATACATAGTATACTCAGATAATGTACATGGGGCTATATAAGGATACATAGTATACTCTGATAATGTACATGGGGCTATATAAGGACACATAGTATACTCTGATAATGTACATGGGGCTATATAAGGACACATAGTATACTCTGATAATGTACATGGGGCTATACCAGGATACATAGTATACTCAGATAATGTACATGGGGCTATACCAGGATACATAGTATACTCCGATAATGTACATGGGGCTATACAAGGATACATAGTATACTCAGATAATGTACATGGGACTATATAAGGACACATAGTATACTCTGATAATGTACATGGGGCTATATAAGGACACATAGTATACTCTGATAATGTACATGGGACTATATAAGGACACATAGTATACTCTGATAATGTACATGGGGCTATATAAGGACACATAGTATACTCCGATAATGTACATGGGGCTATACCAGGATACATAGTATACTCAGATAATGTACATGGGGCTATATAAGGATACATAGTATACTCTGATAATGTACATGGGGCTATATAAGGACACATAGTATACTCTGATAATGTACATGGGGCTATATAAGGACACATAGTATACTCTGATAATGTACATGGGGCTATACCAGGATACATAGTATACTCAGATAATGTACATGGGGCTATACCAGGATACATAGTATACTCCGATAATGTACATGGGGCTATACAAGGATACATAGTATACTCAGATAATGTACATGGGACTATATAAGGACACATAGTATACTCTGATAATGTACATGGGGCTATATAAGGATACATAGTATACTCAGATAATGTACATGGGGCTATACCAGGATACATAGTATACTCAGATAATGTACATGGGGCTATACCAGGATACATAGTATACTCCGATAATGTACATGGGGCTATACCAGGATACATAGTATACTCCGATAATGTACATGGGGCTATACAAGGATACATAGTATACTCAGATAATGTACATGGGACTATATAAGGACACATAGTATACTCTGATAATGTACATGGGGCTATATAAGGACACATAGTATACTCTGATAATGTACATGGGGCTATATAAGGATACATAGTATACTCAGATAATGTACATGGGGCTATACCAGGATACATAGTATACTCCGATAATGTACATGGGGCTATACAAGGATACATAGTATACTCAGATAATGTACATGGGACTATATAAGGACACATAGTATACTCTGATAATGTACATGGGGCTATATAAGGACACATAGTATACTCTGATAATGTATATGGGGCTATATAAGGACACATAGTATACTCTGATAATGTACATGGGGCTATATAAGGATACATAGTATACTCAGATAATGTACATGGGGCTATACCAGGATACATAGTATACTCCGATAATGTACATGGGGCTATACAAGGATACATAGTATATGAATGTACATGGGACTATATAAGGATACATAGTATACTCCGATAATGTACATGGGGCTATATAAGGATACATAGTATACTCTGATAATGTACATGGTGCTATACCAGGATACATAGTATACTCAGATAATGTACATAGTGCTATACCAGGATACATAGTATACTCCGATAATGTACATGGGGCTATATAAGGATACATAGTATACTCTGATAATGTACATGGTGCTATACCAGGATACATAGTATACTCTGATAATGTACATGGGGCTATACCAGGATACATAGTATACTCTGATAATGTACATAGTGCTATACCAGGATACATAGTATACTCTGATAATGTACATGGTGCTATACCAGGATACATAGTATACTCAGATAATGTACATGGGGCTATACCAGGATACATAGTATACTCAGATAATGTACATGGGGCTATACCAGGATACATAGTATACTCTGATAATGTACATGGTGCTATATAAGGATACATAGTATACTCTGATAATGTACATGGGGCTATATAAGGATACATAGTATACTCAGATAATGTACATGGGGCTATACCAGGATACATAGTATACTCCGATAATGTACATGGGGCTATACCAGGATACATAGTATACTCCGATAATGTACATGGGGCTATACCAGGATACATAGTATACTCTGATAATGTACATGGGGCTATACCAGGATACATAGTATACTCCGATAATGTACATGGGGCTATATAAGGATACATAGTATACTCAGATAATGTACATGGTGCTATACCAGGATACATAGTATACTCTGATAATGTACATGGGGCTATACCAGGATACATAGTATACTCAGATAATGTACATGGGGCTATATAAGGATACATAGTATACTCAGATAATGTACATGGGGCTATATAAGGATACATAGTATACTCAGATAATGTACATGGGGCTATCCCAGGATACATAGTATACTCTGATAATGTACATGGGGCTATATAAGGATACATAGTATACTCAGATAATGTACATGGGGCTATATAAGGATACATAGTATACTCAGATAATGTACATGGGGCTATATAAGGATACATAGCATACTCTGATAATGTACATGGTGCTATACCAGGATACATAGTATACTCTGATAATGTACATGGGGCTATATAAGGATACATAGTATACTCAGATAATGTACATGGGGCTATATAAGGATACATAGTATACTCAGATAATGTACATGGGGCTATATAAGGATACATAGTATACTCAGATAATGTACATGGGGCTATACAAGGATACATAGTATACTCTGATAATGTACATGGGGCTATATAAGGATACATAGTATACTCAGATAATGTACATGGGGCTATATAAGGATACATAGTATACTCCGATAATGTACATGGGGCTATATAAGGATACATAGCATACTCTGATAATGTACATGGTGCTATACCAGGATACATAGTATACTCTGATAATGTACATGGGGCTATATAAGGATACATAGTATACTCAGATAATGTACATGGGGCTATATAAGGATACATAGTATACTCCGATAATGTACATGGGGCTATATAAGGATACATAGTATACTCCGATAATGTACATGGGGCTATATAAGGATACATAGTATACTCCGATAATGTACATGGGGCTATATAAGGATACATAGTATACTCAGATAATGTACATGGGGCTATATAAGGATACATAGTATACTCAGATAATGTACATGGGGCTATATAAGGATACATAGTATACTCCGATAATGTACATGGGGCTATATAAGGATACATAGCATACTCTGATAATGTACATGGTGCTATACCAGGATACATAGTATACTCCGATAATGTACATGGTGCTATACAAGGATACATAGTATACTCCGATAATGTACATGGGGCTATATAAGGATACATAGTATACTCTGATAATGTACATGGGGCTATATAAGGATACATAGTATACTCTGATAATGTACATGGGGCTATATAAGGATACATAGTATACTCCGATAATGTACATGGTGCTATACCAGGATACATAGTATACTCCGATAATGTACATGGGGCTATACAAGGATACATAGTATACTCCGATAATGTACATGGGGCTATATAAGGATACATAGTATACTCTGATAATGTACATGGGGCTATACAGGATACATAGTATACTCTGATAATAATACATGGGGCTATATAAGGATACATAAGTATACTCAGATAATAATGTATGGGGCTATATAAGGATACATAGTATACTCCGATAATGTACATGGGGCTATATATAAGGATACATAGTATACTCAGATAATGTACATGTAAGGGCTATATAAGGATACATAGTATACTCCGATAATGTACATGGGGCTATATAAGGATACATAGTATACTCAGATAATGTACATGGGGCTATATAAGGATACATAGTATACTCCGATAATGTACATGGGGCTATATAAGGATACATAGTATACTCAGATAATGTACATGGGGCTATATAAGGATACATAGTATACTCCGATAATGTACATGGGGCTATATAAGGATACATAGTATACTCCGATAATGTACATGGGGCTATACAAGGATACATAGTATACTCAGATAATGTACATGGGGCTATACAAGGATACATAGTATACTCAGATAATGTACATGGTGCTATACCAGGATACATAGTATACTCCGATAATGTACATGGGGCTATATAAGGATACATAGTATACTCCGATAATGTACATGGGGCTATATAAGGATACATAGTATACTCAGATAATGTACATGGGGCTATATAAGGATACATAGTATACTCAGATAATGTACATGGGGCTATATAAGGATACATAGCATACTCTGATAATGTACATGGTGCTATACCAGGATACATAGTATACTCTGATAATGTACATGGGGCTATATAAGGATACATAGTATACTCAGATAATGTACATGGGGCTATATAAGGATACATAGTATACTCAGATAATGTACATGGGGCTATATAAGGATACATAGTATACTCAGATAATGTACATGGGGCTATACCAGGATACATAGTATACTCTGATAATGTACATGGGGCTATATAAGGATACATAGTATACTCAGATAATGTACATGGGGCTATATAAGGATACATAGTATACTCCGATAATGTACATGGGGCTATACAAGGATACATAGCATACATGCACTGTACAGAGGTGACTGTGACTTCCTTGTCATGGTATTTGTGGCTTTGTCTAGTCTTACACCTATTATATTACAGGGATGAAACCGAGGGACTTACCTGATGGCCACGCTGGGGTCATGTGACACCCCACATGACAAGGAGGCTCTGGTTCCTTTAATGACGCTCTGGTCTGTAGGAGGGTTGGTGATACGAGTTCGGGCTGAGAGGAGAGAGAAAGAGACAGAACAAATAGTTTGGTAAATTCTGTGTAAAATAAAAGTTTCCATTTTCAATTTTCTCAGTCATTTTCTAAAGCACCCTGATATTACTCTTCAATACCGTTCTATAACGCCAAATGTTTTATTGTAACCAATTACACTCACTCCTCCTCTCACAGACAACTCCCTCCCTCACCTCTCCTTTAACTCTGCTCTCACACTCAACTCCCTCTCTCAAACTCACTGCCTCCCTCACCTTAACCTCTCACACTCACTGCCTTCCCTCACCTTTACCTCACACTCACTGCCTCCCCTCACCTTTCCCTCACACTCACTGCCTCCCTCACCTTTCCCTCACACTCACTGCCTCCCTCACCTTTCCCTCACACTCACTGCCTCCCCTCACCTTTCCCTCACACTCACTGCCTCCCCTCACCTTTCCCTCACACTCACTGCCTCCCCTCACCTTCTTTCCTCACACTCACTGCCTTCTCCCCTCACCTTTTACCTCTCACAATCACTGCCTTCCTCACCTTTTTACCTCACACTCACTGCCTCCTCACCTTTTTGTACCTTCTCACACTCACTGCCTCCTCACCTTTCCCTCTCACACTCACTGCCTCCCTCACCTTTCCCTCACACCTTCACTGCCTCCCCCACCTTTCCCTCACACTCACTGCCTCCCCTCACCTTACCTCACACTCACTGCCTCCTCACCTTTTACCTCTCACAATCACTGCCTTCTCACCTTTTTACCCTCTCACACTCACTGCCTCCCCACCTTTACCTCTCACACTCACTGCCTCCCTCACCTTTCCCTCTCACACTCACTGCCTCCCTCACCTTTTCCCTACACTCACTGCCTCCCTCACCTTTCCCTTCTACACTCACCGCCTCCCCCTCACCTTTACCTCACACTCACCGCCTCCCCTCACCTTTACCTCTCACACTCACTGCCTTCCCTCACCTTTACTTCTCACACTCACTGCCTTCCCTCACCTTTACCTCTCTCACTCCCTGCCTCCCCTCACCTTTACTTCACACTCCCTGCCTCCCTCACCTTTACCTTACACTCACCTTTACCTCTCACACTCACTGCCTCCCCTCACCTTTACCTCTCACACTCAATGTCTCCTCTCACCTTTACCTCTCACAATCACTGCCTTCCCTCACCTTTACTTCTCACACTCACTGCCTTCCCTCACCTTTACCTCTCTCACTCCCTGCCTCCCCTCACCTTTACTTCACACTCCCTGCCTCCCTCACCTTTACCTTACACTCACCTTTACCTCTCACACTCACTGCCTCCCCTCACCTTTACCTCTCACACTCACTGCCTCCCCTCACCTTTACCTCTCACACTCAATGTCTCCTCTCACCTTTACCTCACACTCACTGCCCTGTGGTAGGACATGGCTACCTGTGTATTGAACTAGGTGCTCATTAACTATTCGGTGACCTCCTTTACAGGTTAATGCTATAGGGACACACGTCGACAGAACACGATAGACGGGCTTGATGGGCCTCCGACTCCCTCCGTCTTGTGTTCCATTGAAGATAAAGTCATCTCACACAATGTGCAGAGATCAGCTGAAACATTCTTATTGTGAGAGGCTTGGGGGAGACAGAGAAACGCAAAGAATCTAACTACACATTGTATCAAGGACCTGAGCTCTCAGCGGCTCACTTAACCCTTCCTGCCGCTCCGCTACACGCTCAATTCTGCAGTTTGTTGTTTAATGAGGGACAAGTAATGGACAGATTTCCCATCCTTAAAAGAAGACAAAACGAACAACATGAAAGGCAAAAAGCCCAAGGACACATCTTTTCCTGGTTTAACTGGTGAGAGGCAGCTCCGGCTGGGAGGCTTGCGGCTTACCATCAGCGTAGGAAATTACTGTCCAGTTCATTAATGAACCCTTTAAACAGAGCGCTGTGGACTACGATTGGACTTCCAAATACTCACCCTTTATTGGAGTATACGCAGAATAAAACCTGATTTACTGAACAGCTTCCGCGCCCTCTGTCTCCATACACCTCGTTAACAGGGTTTAATCACTAAATAGGGACTGGTGGAGTGTTGGAAATGGAACTTGCAAATCAGTTTGATCAAAATAGCAAAGTTGAATAAAATGAGGAACTCTTATTCTGAACCTGCTATTTTGGCTTACAGTTATTATTTTGCTATCATTCAACTCTCACTCACAATTAATTATTCACCCGAACACTCCTGATGTAATATATAATTATAAGTAAATTGTTCATCCAACATTTTTCTTGTCTTTTTTCCCCCGATAACCGAGTTTTTTGAAGGTGCAATGCTCATTTAAATAGAACCTTACAGGAAAGGTAAATTTAAGTTAAACTCGCCAGATCTTGCCTCATATAAATCACAGAGCAAATGGCAAACTCCGAAATGATAACATGTTTATTGCTCGTGTTGGCTAATTAGGCAAGCCTTCTTTCAGTGTGTCTCACTGCAGATGTGCGGTGAAGCTGCAGAAAGATTTATAGGTGAAGGTTTGAGAAGAAAGACAAATGAGTCACAACAGCAAAGAACTAAAAAGGACAAAATCTGTTTCTGCAAAAACTAAGAATACAAACTGTCAGCCTTAAATATATCAAAACCAGCAAAGTAAAATTCTGGATCTATTTGTACGTCCAAACCTGTAACGTCATGGTTTGTCCTCGTTAGTGCATGCGCACACATATAACATCTCCACAATAGCACTGGCCAAGACCAGGATAAGCCAGGAAAGTGCGCTGGATCTTGTGTGATATCATGTTATTATATATAAACATTGATTTAGATCAGATGTTATGGACTACATCTGCCATAATACTCTAACAGCCATATTGGTGGCAAAGCATCAGGGGACATGTAGTCCACAAGATCTGGAGTTGCGCAGTGTGTATTGGGGGGAAATAATGTCATCGAGAGATTTGTGCAGTTATCAATAAACCTTGAGGGTGAAGGAACGTGATGGTGTTATTTCTACTTTGTACATACTCTAGTTTTAACTAATTTTTATAGTAAGTGACTATTTTTTTACATTTGGATTTCGACTAGGGATTCATCAATCTTACGGCAGTAATGGGACATGTCTTGGCCTGCCTGAGACTGGTGGGAGTTGATATATATTAAAGGCTGATTACATGCATTTCATGATGATTCCAACCAACACAGTCCCTGCTGCAGAGTTGTCAAGGAAACTTGGCATCGCCCGCGTGGTCAATCCTGCAAGTTATAACGTGTGGCACAACACTTCGTTCCTGTCTTACCCCACACCATGATGTCAGCGGAGGCATCGTCAGCCCCTCGAGAATTGGTGGCAGTACATGTGTAGGTGCCTATGTCCGATATGTGGGCTGGGTTAATAAGCAGGCTTCCAGACTCCAGGAGCGTGAAGCGGGGTATCTGGAGAGAGCCGCTGGCCAAGATCCGATCACCTGCATTAACGACAATGAGAGGATGTGAAACCTTTACAAACAGCCTTATTAGAATTTTAATACATGTTCTAAAACAAAAATCATCTTAAGGTGGCATGAAGGTTAAAAAATACATCATACAAGGTGACACGGAATTCTGTGCTACACTATGGTATATGTTTCATTAACTTATAGGCTATTAAGGGAGATCTCATGGTTCTTTTTTACATCCTGATATTTTAATCTATATATGTAACCAGGTGATCTGAATCTTCCTCAAGCAGTGCGTACTTCCTTAAGATCACACATCCTGTTTTGGCACCAAAACCCAGAAATCTCATTAAATAATTTTCTATATTGTACCTTGCAGAAAGAGAGATTTAACACTTGCATGTACAACACTGCTTTAATTTTACTGGTAATAAATTAACAAAAATGAAACCCTTTCTGAGCCACAGGGATGAGTTGTGCAAATTGAGACCCTCCCCACCGCCCAAATGTGCAAAGTATTCTTTCTGGTCTTAAACACTAGCTGTGAAGGGGTTAACTTTTCCACGAAACTGGAAGGTTTAAAGATATTCCAGTTGCCATGGTTTCCATTATCGAAACTCCAGCAGGTTATAAACCTTATGTGAGTCTGTTCACTATCAGACATACTTTTCTTCCCCTGTGCCCATCACTGCCCCTACTTTAACCATCCCCCCGATGCCCATCACTGCCCCTACTTTAACCATCCCCCTGTGCCCATCACTGCCCCTACTTTAACCATCCCCCCTGTGCCCATCACTGCCTCTACTTTAACCATCCCCCCTGTGTCCATCACTGCTCCTACTTTAACCATCCCCCCTGTGCCCATCACTGCTCCTACTTTAACCATCCCCCGTGTGCCCATCACTACCCCTACTTTAACCATCCCCAGTACCCATCACTGCTCCTACTTTAACCATCCCCCTGTGCCCATCCTGCTCCTACTTTAACCATCCCCTGTGCCCATCACTGCCCCTACTTTAACCATCTCCCCTGTGCCCATCACTGCTCTACTTTAACCATCCCCTGTGCCCATCACTGCTCCTACTTTAACCATCCCCCCTGTGCCCATCCTGCTCTACTTTAACCATCCCCTGTGCCCATCACTACCCCTATTTTAACCATCTCCCCTGTGCCCATCTGCTCCTACTTTGACCATCCCCCTGTTGCCCATCACTGCTCCTACTTTAACCATCCCCCCGATGCCCATCACTGCCCCTACTTTAACCCACCCCCCCCCTGTGCTTTCCTCCTGTTTTCATCTTGCAGCATTGAACATACACAGGAGACATCAATACCGCGGACAGGCCAGAACTATTACAATGTTTAGACATGTTTAGAGATGGGAAAAATGCTGACAGAGGTATACCATTAAGGGTAATGCCTTGCTGTATACAGTAAGAAAACAGCCCTCTCTCTTAACTCTTTGTATGTCAGGATGAAGGGAATAAAGAAAGTCCCAGTATTTACTGTCTACTATGCAAAATATGGGCAGAGCAAAGGGGCTTAGAGGCTCTGCATGTCATTAGATGAGAAGCTTGTTCTACCATTCTGAGCCGGGCTACTCCGAATATGTATATCCGACATACTCTGTACGTCCCCGCACACATTGTATTATAACTGCAGCTATAAGGTTATGGTGTAAGGAGGTCCCCTGTCTCCCCGCACACAGTGTATTATAACTGCAGCTATAAGGTTATGGTGTAAGGAGGTACACTGTCTCCCCGCACACAGTGTATTATAACTGCAGCTATAAGGTTATGGTGTAAGGAGGTCCCCTGTCTCCCCGCGCACAGTGTATTATAACTGCAGCTATAGGGTTATGGTGTAAGGAGGTCCCCTGTCTCCCCGCACACAGTGTATTATAACTGCAGCTATAAGGTTATGGTGTAAGGAGGTCCCCTGTCTCCCCGCACACGGTGTATTATAACTGCAGCTATAAGGTTATGGTGTAAGGAGGTCCCCTGTCTCCCCGCACGCCGTGTATTATAACTGCAGCTATAAGGTTATGGTGTAAGGAGGTCCCCTGTCTCCCAGCACACAGTGTATTATAACTGCAGCTAAAAGGTTATGGTGTAAGAAGGTCCCCTGTCTCCCCGCACACAGTGTATTATAACTGCAGCTATAAGGTTATGGTGTAAGGAGGTCCCCTGTCTCCCAGCACACAGTGTATTATACCTGCAGCTATAAGGTTATGGTGTAAGAAGGTCCCCTGTCTCCCTGCACACAGTGTATTATAACTGCAGCTATAAGGTTATGGTGTAAGGAGGTCCCCTGTCTCCCCGCACACAGTGTATTATAACTGCAGCTATAAGGTTATGGTGTAAGGAGGTCCCCTGTCTCCTCGCACACCGTGTATTATAACTGCAGCTATAAGGTTATGGTGTAAGGAGGTCCCCTGTCTCCCCGCACACCGTGTATTATAACTGCAGCTATAAGGTTATGGTGTAAGGAGGTCCCCTGTCTCCCCGCACACAGTGTATTATAACTGCAGCTATAAGGTTATGGTGTAAGGAGGTCCCCTGTCTCCCCACACAGTGTATTATAACTGCAGCTATAAGGTTATGGTGTAAGGAGGTCCCTGTCTCCCCGCACACAGTGTATTATAACTGCAGCTAGAAGGTTATGGTGTAAGGAGGTCCCCTGTCTCCCCGCACACAGTGTATTATAACTGCAGCTATAAGGTTATGGTGTAAGGAGGTCCCCTGTCTCCCCGCACACAGTGTATTATAACTGCAGCTATAAGGTTATGGTGTAAGGAGGTCCCCTGTCTCCCCGTACACAGTGTATTATAACTGCAGCTATAAGGTTATGGTGTAAGGAGGTCCCCTGTCTCCCTGCACACAGTGTATTATAACTGCAGCTATAAGGTTATGGTGTAAGGAGGTCCCCTGTCTCCCTGCACACAGTGTATTATAACTGCAGCTAAAAGGTTATGGTGTGAAGAGGTTCCCTGTCTCCCCACACACAGCGTGTTATAACTGCAGCTATAGGTTATGGTGTAAGGAGATCCCCTGTCTCCCCGCACACAGTGTATTATAACTGCAACTATAAGGTTATTGTGTAAGGAGGTCCCCTGTCTCCCTGCACACAGTGTATTACTTAACTGCAGCTATAAGATTATGGTGTAAGGAGGTCCCTGTCTCCTACTTTTACCGTGTGTATAACTGCAGCTATAGGTTATGGTGTAAGGAGGAGGTCCCCTGATACTCCCGCACACGGTGTATTATAACTGCAGCTATAAGGTTATGGTGTAAGGAGGTCCCCTGTCTCCCTTTTACAGTGTATTATAACTGCAGCTATAAGGTTATGGTGTAAGGATATCCCCTGTCTCCCAGCACACAGTGTATTATAACTGCAGCTATAAGGTTATGGTGTACGGAGGTTCCCTGTCTCCCCGCACACAGTGTATTATAACTGCAGCTATAAGGTTATGGTGTAGGGAGGTTACCTGTCTCCCGCACACAGTGTATTATAACTGCAGCTATAAGGTTATGGTGTAAGGAGGCCCCCTGTCTCCCCGCACACAGTGTATTATAACTGCAGCTATAAGGTTATGGTGTAAGGAGGTCCCGTCTCCCGCACACAGTGTATTATAACTGCAGCTATAAGGTTATGGTGTAAGGAGGTCACCTGTCTCCCTGCACACTGTGTATTATAACTGCAGCTATAAGGTTATGGTGTAAGGAGGTCCCCTGTCTCCCCGCACACAGTGCATTATAACTGCAGCTATAAGGTTACGGTGTAAGGAGGTCCCCTGTCTCCCCTCACACAGTGCATTATAACTGCAGCTATAAGGTTATGGTGTAAGGAGGTCCCCTGTCTCCCCTCACACAGTGTATTATAACTGCAGCTATAAGGTTATGGTGTAAGGAGGCCCCCTGTCTCCCCGCACACAGTGTATTATAACTGCAGCTATAAGGTTATGGTGTAAGGAGGCCCCCTACCTCCCCGCACACAGTGTATTATAACTGCAACTATAAGGTTATGGTGTAAGGAGGCCCCCTGCCTCCCCGCACACCGTGTATTATAACTGCAGCTATAAGGGTATGGTGTAAGGAGGCCCCCTGTCTCCCCGCACACAGTGTATTATAACTGCAGCTATAAGGTTATGGTGTAAGGAGGCCCCCTGCCTCCCCGCACACCGTGTATTATAACTGCAGCTATAAGGGTATGGTGTAAGGAGGCCCCCTGTCTCCCCGCACACAGTGTATTATAACTGCAGCTATAAGGTTATGGTGTAAGGAGGCCCCCTGCCTCCCCTTTTACAGTACAGTAAACTGCAGCTATAAAAGGTTATGGTGTAAGGAGGTCCCCATCTCCCCGCACACAGTGTGTATAACTGCAGCTATAAGGATATGGTGTGAGAGGTCCCTGTCTCCTACTTTTACCGTGTATTATAACTGCAGCTATAAAATTATGGTGTAAGAAGGTCTCCTGTCTCCCGGCACACAGTGTATTATAACTGCAGTTATAAGGTTATGGTGTAAGGAGGTCCCCTGTCTCTCCGCACACAGTGTATTATAACTGCAGCTATAAGGTTATGGTGTAAGGAGGTCCCCTGTCTCCCCACACAGTGTATTATAACTGCAGCTATAAAGTTATGGTGTAAGGAGGTCCCCTGTCTCCCCGCACACAGTGTATTATAACTGCAGCTATAAAGTTATGGTGTAAGGAGGCCCCCTGCCTCCCCGCACACAGTGTATTATAACTGCAGCTATAAGATTATGGTGTAAGGAGGTCCCCTGCCTCCCCGCACACAGTGTATTATAACTGCAGCTATAAGGTTATGGTGTAAGGAGGTCCCCTGTCTCCCCGCACACAGTGTATTATAGC